TTTAAACTATTGTCATTGTAGTGCGTATTTAATGTGGCGCTGCACTCTGATGTTGTAGGAGAAACATTTATTAAAAAGTCTATTTAATAAAGTAGAACGTATTGTCTATATTTATTTAAAGTTGCGCATACCCCCTCCCTCGTCACACATCGTCACAAATGTCTGACCCCCCCCCCCCCCTAGGTGCGTAACGTCATTTATGGACGGCCCCTAAGCGTTATTTGCCACTAAGTGACAGTGGCGTCATTACGGTGCTCGTGCCAGGCTAGGTGCTCATTGAGGCCAAATGAAGCGTCGAAGGCTCTGCTGGCAGGTCGTGGGACAGACCCAGGTGTTATAGGTTAACTGGTATGATTGGCAGTGCCCCTTGCTGTGTTTTATCCGCCCGGTCTGCTTGTTGTAGTGTCCCTGCTCTGCCCTCTTGTTGCTGGGGTGCGATTGCCACCAAGTGTCCAGCAGCATCCTTCAACACATTCCTGCGGAGGGAGCTGGTAGGAACGTTGGGTTGCTCGGTCAATGGCCAGGATCAACGGCGGCGTGGTGTATTCCGCAAATATGGCCGACTGTGAGGGCGGGCACAAGCCGGCGTGAGTAGGTTAAACGTTGAGTTTTATAAGGGCACCACGAGGTGACCAGCCCCTCCCCACCCAGCCCCTCCCCACCCAGCCCCACCCCTCACCCAGCCCCACCCCTCCCACCCCTCCCCACCCTCTCCACCCAGCCCCACCCATCCCATTTTTGGATGCACGACGGACGGACACAATAATTCCCTGTGGTCTGGTGTAACCAGGAGGTTCCTACCAGTATAATCCTCCTCGCGTACCACAGCAATCCATTCCCCCCAGTCCGAACCGCACCCGTATATACCCCTCTATCCTGCCAAACAAAATATGCTGGGGCATGCGGTGGCTAGGTATGCAGGGAAAACGTATCTACGCCTTCCAGGGGGAGCTCACCGATGGGGCTGTTTCCACATCTTTCAAAGATGTGTGATCTCAAAACAATCCTGTCTGGTTAAACCTAGGATGGACGATAGGCAGGCCATCCTGAATGTTTCAAGCCAGGGCAAGCGTTCACGTGAATGGGGTCCACAGATCACGATAGACATTAAGAGACGGTGCGATTGTGGTCATACAACACCCGGAGGAGCTCCGTGTGGAATAACACGCCAGACAACTTCCACGCCGCGTTTCTTAGCCGATTTCGTAAAAAAAATAACCGCTTGACTGATTCGGAGTGTGCCACTGTTCCCTCCACAAAACACACAGATAAGTACACACGTAGCCACACACAAGCACTCCAACGTCTATACATACCTACACAGACACATGAACAAATATACACCCGCATACACACTCACGTACGCCCACACGCGGCGTACGCCACCAGAGGTGGCCAGGGACACCCCGCGCTCGTTCCGCTACTGGCTGGGGGTGCCTAGGAGCCGTGCCTTCCGAGACAGAGGCCTGCCTTGCTCGGTTTTACTCCCCGCCTCCCTTCACATCGCTGGGCACAGCCACGGCGCATGCCGTCACTGCGAGGGGAGAAAAAAACAACGCCCCAAATGTGTTTAAATCTGGGTTTTTTTTAATGTCTAACCCTTTGATAAATAGTCCCGTTTGTGTGTGTAGGGCAAGTCCCTAAAATCAACACTTTACGACACAATTTTATGTTGGATCATCTTTACAAGAGTTGCCGTGACGCCCCCGCCAGCGATGGATGGACAGCAAATGCAAAGACATTTTAACCTTCGCTGAAAGAATTAAAAACCGGTTTGTTTATGTGACAAACCTTACTAATTGCCGTGTCGCGTGGTGGCGGATTAACGACACATTTATATTTACGCGATCTAATAGGCCTCAAATTTGGTTATGTTTAAAATGAGTGATCTAATGTCATAGCCGGTAGTACGCATTGTGTAATGCATTCTATTTAGGTACATAGGCAAGTTACTTTTCATGAAGTTTAGCTTTACAGATACTATTTTGTATCTGTTTCCTGTTGTATAGAGTACATGCAAGAAGTATCACCATCAGGATGGAGTAATGCATGAACAATTAACATTTCCACTCAATAATTCTAAAGTGTAAATACTTCCAATGACAAATGCATATGAGAAAGCGTTACAAAATGCATGCTTACCTTAAAATTGTTTTTTAACTTATTATGGTTGCCAATGTTTGCTTACTATTCAGACCTAAAAAATTGGATGCGATGATACACTTTGTAATTTATGTACAGTATAAAAATATGGTCAGTATAATCTTTAGTATATGATTTAGAAAATACATGCTTAGCATTTCTTTTTCATTGTTCCTGTATTGTATTAGAATAATAGCTATTTAAAACCGCAAATCCACTGCTGGACGAAGGCCTCTCCAGTGAGCGTACATATATTATACGTACGCAGTACAAATGGCACGTGCACTTACATGTGATCTATACACAGGGACACGTCCACACGCCCGCCCATCTCCCTTGCACGTGATAATTGAGAGCGTCCAAGCGTTAATTAGGGACAGACAATTAACGGCCCTGACTCACAGGGGAAGGGGTTGCGGCACGCCCACACAACGGCTTTCATGATAATAATCATCAGAATCTGTATTTGTAATCGCCATCAAAACTTTCGTAATGATCAAAATCTGTTATACTTGTCATTCATCCAAATCATTGCCAGCTGTAATATCAATCATTTTAATGTTCATCATCGTTATCTGTCATGATATCGAATAACCATTATCTATAATCGATATCCATAATTATCACAATGTCCGCTATACATAATCGCCATCATAATTTTCTCGACTGTCCCTCATTACCTTCCCTACTATAATCGTCATTATACCTTTGTTATCTTTTGTACTATCACCACCTACACCGCTCATCGCCTAATCATCACCTATCACTCACCTCCCACTTCACTCAACCCCATTCCCTATCCTACTCACTATCCACACCACTTCCCTGCCATACTCCATACCCTACATTGCCATCTACCAGGCTCACCACCCAGCCACCCACCGCCTGCTTCACGTTCTACGCTATGCACCACCCACTCACGTGGCTCTGGTCTTCCCCGCTTCATATTCATCATCCACCCCATTCACCTCTCAACCTAACCACTCGTCACCCCACTGACCACCAATCCACCCCACTCACCACCCAACCCACTCACCACCCAACCCACTCACCACCCAACCCACTCACCACCACGCTCCCTGTAACACAGAGTCGCTTTGCTGTATAGCCGCTATTTGGTTGCTTCATGAGTCGCATATCGCAAAAACCCGGTTTAAATTCAGCTAGTTGTCGGTACAATGGGTATAATTGTACACCATTATTAAATAATTGGATTAGACTTAATGTCCAATAAGGGATAGAAATCTCAATTTCTAATTTTTGGGCCCCCACTCCCCCCCAACATTTTGAAGTGGCCAGGTTAATTAAACTTTTGTTTTTAAAATCCTATGCTTTGGGAAAGTTTGTATTCTGTAGGTTTTAAAGAGTGCTAGATACAAATGTGACATCACATTGCCAACGACTCCTTTTTAGTGGATGGTAAAGTGCAGTCCACATCGGACGAGCAAGACACCAAAACCAAGCGTGAGAGGGCAACATCCGCTACCCAGTTATTATTGTGGTAACAAGTACGGGAGTATTTATATTTTATATAGGTTGAGCAATGTATAGATGCCCCACTGAAATAATGCGAATTATAGCGAACCCTACATTGATTTCAACGCTTCTGCATGTCTCCCATCGAGCTCAATACGCTTTGAAAATATGCAATACTGTCCTTAAGATATGGATCCATCGTTTTCATCGTGTTTAATCACCTATTGAGAAGATAGATTCATTATAAATCAGTGGGGTATCTATACATGGATGACAATGTACGTATTATTGTTCTCCAGTAGTTTTAACATTGGTGCTGGGCACATTTATAAATGTATTTTCAGTAGTTTACGATTAAGATAAAATAAATTAATTATATACACTCGCGATTCCTAATGTAAGGAACAAAGCAAACCCCTCCAAATATAAACTCCGCCTGTGGATATACCGCTGACATCAGTGGCGAGTGATATCAGAAATGGTTCAAGGCCAACATATGGATGGATATACTGAAATGCATTGTGGATTTATGGGGCGATACAGAGATATGAAATTTGCCGATGACTAGGTCACGGGGAATGTGCCTGATCTCGTCTGATCTGGGCAGCTAAGCAGCAGGATATTGCTTGGTTGGAGGTCCAGCATGCCATGGAAGGTGATACAGGCGACGGTGGGATAATATTGTGGTCAGCAGAGGGCAGTACAGGTGAGGGCAAGTGGTCTGACAGGCGCATTTTAGATAATACGTTATCACTGAAGCTTAAAACCCCAATATACCTAAGTCTAGCTCAGAGAGTCTCTGATATGAACACCAAAGCTTAAGAACCCTATAGAAGCACCACTTAGTCTCTTTGAGCCTCAAATATTAACACTGGAGTATACTCTTAAAAAAGCCTTAGTCCGGCTCAATGAGCTTCAGTCATAAATACTGAAGCCTGTGAATCCCGAGATGGGAGAGCCTCAATGTGAGTCTCAGTCACGAGCTCTGAAGCCTGTGAATTATCGAGGGGGGAGAACCTCAGTGTGGCTCTGAGTCACGAACTCTGAAGCCTGTGAATTATCGAGGGGGGAGAACCTCAGTGTGGCTCTGAGTCACGAACTCTGAAGCCTGTGAATCATCGAGGGGCACCAGGGGAGCCTCAGTGCGGTCGGCTCTGTGACCCCCCCCCGCCCCACACAGGTGCGTGACCCCCCCCCCCCGCCCCACACAGGTGCGTGACCCCCCCGCCCCACACAGGTGCGTGACCCCCCCCCCGCCCCACACAGGTGCGTGACCCCCCCCGCCCCACACAGGTGCGTGACCCCCCCCTCCACTTCCTGCCGCCCGTACGAGTTCCCCTCCCCCCAGCCTCCACGGAAGTGACGTCACGTCCGTTATTCAATCGACGAGGTGACGTCACCTGGGCGTCGGCAGGTAAAGCGGAGAAGACGAAGGCCCCTTAATCATCGGCAGCGCCATCAACACCATCATCGCGATCGTCAACAACCACAGCAACAACTACAGCAACAACTACAGCAACAACCACAGCAACAACTACAGCATCACAGCATTAGCGTGGACCCGCATGGGCCTCCGTGACCGCCAAGGTGAGTTGGGGTGGTGGGGGTTGGTGGGTCGCCTGTCCAGGTGTGTTGACTGAAGACGCGGGTGGGTTTAGAGGTGGATAATGGAGGGGTTCGTTCGGGGGGCTACCTGTGCAGACGTGGGTAGGATTGTGAGAGCGATTAGGGTGGCGCCGAGAGAGAGAGAGAGGAAGGGGGTGGTGGTGGTAAGAGCCTCATCTTGGTTATCACCTGCAGCTCACCTGGTTCTTGACTACACCCAACCGACCGCCTGTCTCAATAAAGCAAAGGACACACCGCCCGGTGGCGGAGGTGAGAGAGGTGGATTGTGTGGTGGTCAACGGGGTTAGTTGACTTGCTTTGCCCTGCCTGAGTGGAGAGAGGGTTGGGGTTTTGCCCTCTTCGTATTAACGTGCTCTATTCGCATAGATGCTCAATCATTGAGGACTTTGCCTTCACGTTTGGAAATACCATCTGGCCTGTGCTGCTGTTGTTGTTGGGAGACTGGGCGAATGGGTTGAGTTTTTGAATATTCAACATCGCTGCCACAAACTTTGGCATCACCACTTCCATTGATGCCATTCACAGTCGCCTTCACCTCCACCGTTTCCACCACGAAACCATTCACTCTCGCAACCACCTTCACATACCTCCCCCATCACAGGTCTTCAACCATTTCTACCACTTCCTTCTACCAACCCTCCACCATCAACCCACATCTGCCACCATCGCGATCCCCGCTTCCATCGGCTTCACAACCACTAAAGACCGCAACAACCTCGTGTATTAACCGTGATCACCACCACACCTCCACAACCACCATAGCAACAACCTCTGTAAAACCTCACCGCAAAACGAAGTCCGTTATCGCCCATAAACGCACATGCGCGCTGTTTCCTCCTGCCCGATTTAGGGGTGATGGACGAGCAAAGTAGAGGAAGATGTGGCGGTGGCAGGGCGGCCCATAGGTTTCAGGGGGGCCCGGGGCAGATTTACACGAAGGGCCCCCATTATTCATTAGCGACAACAAGAGAGAGAGGAGAGGGAAAAAACCCAGGCCCCATGTGGAGGCTCCCTCTTTTGTGCTATGCATGGAGCTAATCGTTCTTTTTCCCTTTCATGGGCAGCCCTGCCATGATGGTTATTCACCACCCCCCTCTCACCCCTAGCTGCTCCTAATGGCTAAATCGGGGTGTGAGAGACCCAGGTGCGTTGTCTCAGCTGTCGGATATAGATCTATGGTAATTATAGGATTGCCACCTGTCCAGGTGTTTAGTACTGTGCCGAGATCTCATGGTTAATGTGTTGAAACTTTATTGCGCTACTACTGCACAGTTTTGATAGACCTCGGCTGACTTTGAGGCTGGCAACCCGAGTTAATTTCCCAGGCCCTGCACTAGTTAACATATGTAACTTGATGTATGCAGTACTGTAGATTTTACACCAATCGAATATGTAATGATATTATAAAAAGGTTATAACGCAGAGTCTCTCCTCTACTACCCATAGCTGTAAAAGTCTGAACAGCCCAAATACCTGTACAGGTATTGTACAGGTATTTGGGCTACACACATTACTGCGCAGATTTTGATTGGGTTTTACTCTTTGTTCAGGATCAGTCTACAAGTTACACAGTCTTGTTTATTGAATTTAGTCTCATGGCAATTAGATTAATGGATAAACCAAATAATTGGCCGCTCCTGGTCACAAGTGGATGTACACGCAGAGTCGTAGTTGTTTATGTCACTTACTACAGCGTGTAGTGTTGATGTTCAAATCTGTAAATGACGAGACACCACATCGCAACAGAAACATTTCTACAGACCGGAAAACAAACATTTAACAACACTCGTAGCATCTTTTGAGGTCGATGTTTTGACTGGTATTGATGGGAACATTGCCGGGTCTAATGATACTCAACATTATGTCCGTACACACACGTGTATAATTATACAGTACACACATGCTGTTGTACATGCATACACGTGTGTGTGTGTAGTGCATCATACTTGCACTGTGTAGACACGTGTAGTGCAGTTCATACATAAGTACATATAGAGTACTGTCTATACCACTACAGTTTAGGGCGTGCACACACACACACGTGTGCTTGCAAACGCAGTCCAGTACGTACACTGGCATTGCGTTCGCACATGTGCAGTGCACAGTATGGGTGAGTGATTCAGTGTGGTACTGTAACGTGTCGTGCACCTTTGTGAGTAATCGTGCGTAATATAACGCACGTGGCTGTGTGGAATGACTTCGTAGGTGCTTCCCCAACAATTTGTTAAAGGCTATACGGGAAATCTCTTGTGTGTTTTTGAGTCAATAAGCGAGTTATCTTTACGCCTATATAATTGTAGACGCACTTCACGCGCTCACCTCCGCACAAACATACATCAATCTACATACTTAATTCACAAACATCTCTACAAATATGCTGACCTGCACACACGCTACTATAAAGACACGGAAACCTGTACACAGGCTTCTGTACACACACGCACACGGGTGTGGAGGTGTAAACTACCGCAAAGAAAAATCCCCCGTATAGACTGTAAGGGCAAGTACTGTTAGCGAGCACCTATGAAGGCCGGCACGGCACACAAGGGGGTGGGTGGCCAGCACCACGCCGGACCGCCTTTGTCTCCCCAGTGGCGATGTTCACACATCGCACCAGGTACTCATTTGAGGCTGAGTCGACCTGGGGGAGGCCCAGGACCGGTTCATATAATCGTCACTGGCGTTGGCCGTGAGCGGGAATCGAACTCGGGTCACGCCGGGTCAATAGCGCAGTGCGCTAACCGCTGCGCCACCGCTCCCCACACACCTTTATTCACACACACGCACCTGTAACATTGTGGTACACGACAATTTTGACTCTCACGCACACACACGAGTCATCACGCGCACACAGTAATTATAAAAGCGCACGCATGCCCACGTAATTACACACACGTCCACGTGAGAGCCCGCCTCTCGCGTCCCTAATGAGGATCCTGACTCTGCCGCTAATCTCCACGCTCCGATTTCTCTGTTTTGTCGCCACCTCTTCTCTCTCCCCCCTCGACGTTCTCTCGTCCTTCCGGAGTTCGTCTTCGTTGCCGTCTCAGACTCCGACTGTCTGACAGTTTCTGCCCCGATAACCTACACCGGAGGACTCGACAGGATAAACTGGTATGTTGTGCCTCCCATACACGTGTACGACAGTGTCTGGGAGTTTTTATCTGGTTTGCTGTCTGCTTCTGTCAGTTTGTCTCAATTTACCGACACTACATGTATGTGTGCGTCTTTCCCTTACACTTCAGTCTATCAATGTGTCTCCGACATCGACTGGTAGTGTATGAACACGTGTATGTGTCTTATTTACATGCTGCAGTGTCTGCTATACATACTCTGCGTGTCTCGCTTCATCTGTCTCGCCTCAATTTAATACCGTGAACGTTTGTTTTGTCTTTGGGCAATCGTGTATTTCTCTCTGCTATTTACTGTTGTGTACCTTTCTGCGTGTCTCTGTTTGTTCGTCTCCTCTCATGTTCATCTCGTGAACTTCTTTCGCGCACCGTACGTAGCCAACCGTGCTAATCGGAGGTGCCCTGACTCATGAGACTTAGATAATAGATCAGTCGCTCAAGAGACTGCCACTCTCCATCTCTCTCTCTCACCATCTCTGGCCCTCTCTCTCACAATCTCTGACCATCTCTCACACACTCGAACTCTCTCCATTGCACACTCTACATATCCCCTTCACATTTTGTGTCTCGCCTCCACTCTCTCTCTCTGCCAGGTAAACTGTCCAAGTAACAGCTAAGAAAATGCAGTGTTGTGTACAGTAATAGGGTGTTTGCATGTCTTTGTATGGACAGTATGTGCACCTTGTAGCCTGTGTACAGGGTCTAGGTGTGTATCTAACTATCTACTGTCCAGGTTCGAGGGCTATATTTCATTTACAGGGTGTGGAGGTGCATGCAGGGTGTGTCTTTATGTACAGGGTCTAGGGGTTTATTTTATCCATGAACAGAGTTTGCAGGGTGTTTGCGCAAGTACATGGCGCACTAGTGTGTATGTCGGGTATTTGTATTTACAGGTGGAGTGATGTGTTTTTATTTACAGGGTGTATGTATAGGGGGTTGTTGTGTACAAGATATGGAGAGGGTGGATGTGCAGGGTGTGTGTGTACAGGCTGTAGGGGATGCTTTTTATTTACGTTCTATAGATGTGTGTGTACAGGTTTGGTGTTGAGTGCGCAGGACGTGTGAGTGTTTTATATTCATTGTGTAAGGGGTGCGTGTATTGGGTGTGTGTATGTGTACATGGTGTGTCCGTGTTTACTTGTAAGGGTGTGTGTACGTATGAACATATAAGGTTTAGGTGTGTTAGCGTTATAGGGTATGTGTGTACAATGTACATGTGCATATTAGTGTTTGTGAATGTACACAGTTTTGCCTGAGTGTGACTGGAGGTTAATGTGTGTGGGCATCAGTGTTGAACGTCTTTCCCACCGTACGTAGCCGACCGTGATAATCAAAGCTGCCGTTTGTGTGTTCACGACAGCGTGTGTATTCACACCCGTGCTTGTACACTATAATTGTTTGTGTTTCACACCATTAAAATGTGTGTAGTGTGTAAGAAGAGACTTGTTGTGTGTGTGTGAATAAATGTGTGCGTAATGTGGGGAGCGGTAGTGTAGCAGGTTAGCGCACTGCGACACGGGTTTCGATTTCCACTCACGGCAACCAACACCAGTGACAATTATCTGAACCGGTCCTGGGATTCTCCTAGGTCGACTCTACCTTAAATGAGTACCTGGTGCAGTGTGTAGACATAGCCACTGGGGAGACAAAGGCGGTTGGGCGTGGTGCTGGCCACACACCCCCTCCTTGTTTGCTGTCAGCCTTCATAGGTGCTCGCTAACAGCACTTGCCCCAACCGTGTTAATGGATATAATAGGGTTTTTTGTCTTTTTTGCATGCACATGAACCTGTGTGAGATGGTGTGACTGTCCGTGAACATGGGTGCATGTCTGAGTGGGTGTGAGGTGAGATCGATTTTGAGGGTGTGTATGAACTGGTGTAATTATGGTGCATGTGTGTATCTGGTGAGGATGTGTGCGGGTGGTAGTGTACTATGCGAGGTGGGTTTAAATGTAAGCGAGGGTGTCACTAGTGTGTTGGCATCTGTGTGTGTGTTTAGTATGTAGGAGGTTCGCGGGTTCGATCCCGACCCTGACGCCTGTTGTATATTTGGAGTTTGCATATGGTGCCTGTGGTCGCTTAGATTTTTTATTTGGGTCGTCCTGTTTTTCCCTCCACATTTAGAAAACATGCGTTTTGACTATTTAGATATGTTTTTCTGCTATCAGTGTCAAAATGATAAGCCATTTTGTTGAGCTATCATTTGTGGCCAGGCCGCTTTTAAAAAAGAAGTTAATACTTCAGTGGGGTTTTCTCTGGTAGGATGGGGATGGTTTAGTTTTATTTGTAGATTTGGGTGATTTGTTTACATTTCTTGTACTTTGTACTCTGATCATGTTTTTGTATTGTTTGTTGTAACGTTCTTACCCGCCCCGACTGGAAATCTATGAAAAAGAGCTTTATAGTTCATCGGATTCCTTCAGTATAAAGAAATATTCTGATTCTCAGGTAGTGTTTGAGCGAATATGTAAGCCTGATCGTATGTATCATCACATGTGTAAGTGTGTGTTGCTGGTGTGTAAGCATGGGTATGCGTGAGGGTGCATGCATGTGTGAGTGCATGCGTGTGTAATTGTTGTGAAAGCATGCGGTTGTGTATTTATCTAACTGCTGTGGAAGCATGTGTGTGTATGTAACTGGTAGGTGCTCTCTAACAGCCACTTACCCCAACAGTCTGGTAAAGGCTATACGGGGGATCTTTTGTCTTTGTTGGAAAGCATTCGTGTGTGGATGTGCGAGTGTCACTCCGAGACTCGTGTTCACTCGCGAGTCCCAACAGGTCTGAGCTCGCGACGCCCAAACAACTGTTTTTCGCCAAACTCGGTGTGACGTGTGTATGTTAATGTGTGTGTGACCGTGTGTTAATGTGTGTGTGTGGAGAGTGGTGGCATAGCGGTTAACGCTGCTCTACGAACATGGCTACCCGAGTTCGATTCCTGTTCACGGCCAACACCAGTGACTGTTATCTGAACTGGGCCTGGGCATTTCCTATTTAAACTCAGGCCAAAACCAGTGACTTATAAAAAAAAACATCCCTGTTACGTCTAAACATGACTACTCCGGAGACACGCGGCAGGGCATTGTGCCGGGAATGTCTTTTATAAAAGTCTTAATAGGTTCTTGCTAACGGCACGTACCCCAGTTTGTGTAAGGTTTCACAAGAGATATTTGTCTTATGCGCGCGCGTGATTCTGGTTATTTGTATTTGTATGAGTGTGTGTGAGTCTTCTTGATTCTTTCGGTAAAGTCACGTAGAATGGAAATAATAAAATAATTCCTCACGACGTTTCGGCCACAACGCAAGCAGCGTTGTGTTTTATTTTTATTATTTTATTATTTCCATTCTACGTGACTTTACCGAAAGAACCAAGAAGATGAATCCCTGCAGTCACGAAAGCTTTAAATCGAAATTGTGTGTGAGTTATTGTATACGAGTGTTTTTGTGTATGAGAGGTGGTTATTCACGTACCTATTACTTTGTAGGTGTGCCCTGTTTGTCATGTCGTACATTTCTTTTACTCTTGTGCTTCCATCTCAGCGACCTGGCTAGTCAGGCACAACATCCTCAAATAAACCAATTGGACTCTAACCTGGCCTGCATCTCCACAAGATTGCCTTAGCCTTAAACCTGCTGGCCTGTGTGTGTGTGTGCGGATATACGCTTGAGTACCATTTGTTTCAAATCCACTGTTGAGAAAACATCTGCTAATGTCCCTGGAATAACTTTGAAAGCATGTTACCTAGTATGGGCTCCCCTTCTAATGGATATCTGTGAAAAGTATCTTCATAGCTCATCGGATTTCTCCAGGATAAATAAAGATTCTGATTCTTCTATTGGGGTACTGTTTTCACATCTCGGTGTAACTGTAACATTTTTTAAACATTTTTTTTTTACAACTTCAAAATATATTTTATTTATACCTTTTATTTGTGAGAGCTTTGATAACTGCAACAATTTCCACTGAGCCGAATGCCTTGCCCCAATAGAGATGATAGCACTTGGTACATTCACACACGCACACACCCCCATGCCTCTAACACGAACCCGCATTCTGTCAACCCTTGTATGTCTGTCTCAGGATTCCAGAGGGCCAGATAAAATCTCCACATCTCCGTGCTGTGCCTACCAAGACCTGTCAAGCTACTCAAATCCGGCAGGTCTGCATTTTTTTTCAAGAAGAGTTTTTTAATTAAGAAATCTCATAAATCCCCACGAGCGATAAGACAAATCCCATGGGTTATTGCTGTATTGTTTTGTGGAGCTAAAGTCTAGAAAAATGTGTTTCCACATCAGTGAAGCAACGCTGTGTAATGAGGTGATCTGATGACACAGCAGTGATCTCAGACTTAAAGTTTCACCTTCCGTTTGAGAGGTCGCAATCGTGGGAAACTCAGTCCTGGTACGTGCAGCGATTAAAAATAAGAATGTCTGCTCTAATGTTATCTCAGTCAATGACAGTTACTGAGCGACTCACTTCTGTCTCTGTTTCGATCAGACAACAAAGTGTCAATGTCATATTCTTTGGGTTTTTCGGTAAAGCCACGTAGATAGAAAAATAATAATAATACAAATAACAATATCACGACGTTTCGATCGCAACACAAGTAATCGTCATCAGGTGAAAACTATAGCGGGAGAGCTGCTGAGGCAGGAAAAATATATGGTGGGAGAGCTGCTAAGGCAGGATGTTATAAAGGTTTGAGATGCATGTAGGTTTGAGATGCATTTAGCCCAAGGGTGAATGGGCGGGGCTAGAGATGAAATTTGCACGTAAATGTAAGATCGGCGAGCTGAGCCATACCCACGACAATGAAGCTGTGGGGGAGGCCATTGTATTGTGAGAGATTAGCATGTCAATGTAAGAAATTTGCATGCAAATGTAAAATCGGAAAGCGCTCGGCAAAAGCCACCACCACATCGAGGAAAACGAGCAATGGTGGCTGTGTTGGTGAATGTAACTCGGAGTCGAAAATAACTGCTAACATAGGCAGGTATGAAGGGAACATCAGCCAGTTATGACCTAAACTGGTTATTAACGTCCTTCCAACAATGATTGCTCAACTTGTACCCATCTTCTCTGTTGAAATTGTCTGTGTTTATATATCTGGATGGCTTCATGAACGAATCTTTGCTGATAGCCAGTGGGTTTGCAGAGTACTTTCGTCTTGGCAAAATCAAATTCGTGTGTCCACAGCGTTAAAACAATGATCAGTTATCTACAATTGACTCTTATCCGATTATTAGGTGTCCAGTGATGCAACAGCTAACTGCATACTCATTAAATCCTACACTTTATACGACAATCATTTACAGCCCTTTAAATATCCTATTTTTGGATGAAGATCCGCCCACACTTTTCATGGGGGTTGTTTGACCATAATTGACCACGCTGGTCAATGCAGGTTGGTGAAAAGGGTGTCCAAGACTGATCTGGATAGCACTCACCACTGATGTTAACCCAGGGCAAGGAATCAAACTCAGGTCGCCGGGCTCATAGCGAAATGTGCTAACCACTGCGCCTCGGCCCCATCCCACATGTACCAGACAAGAAATGGATTGATTATAACTCACTTTTTTTTCAAGGGATACCCTGGCCCCTATAAAACAAAACTGTAAACGTGTGAACATCTATTCAAATGTACAAAAATACATTGTTAACCCTCGGTTATTTTCATCTGGTATATTTTGCATATACATCGTCATACCGGTGAAACGTAATATTTTTGTAAATGCTTTTTACTATTTAAACAAATATTTATACTTTGGGTTGTGAGAGCTTGGATAACTGCTACATTTTCTACAGTCAAATTATTTTTCACCCGCTAGAGGTGCTATACACACCGCAGCAGCAAAAATAAGAATTTATTCGTGAATCAAACGTGCACCCTGAATTGTGGAGATTCATTGGTTCCTATAGGAGAGCAGGGTGACATTGTTACAAGACTGCTGGTTATAAATAACAGCCACTGATCCATCTTTCTCAGGGATCAGCAACTGAAATAACACGAAGAGACATTTTTTTATTCTGTAAAACACTCAATATTTCAACAGCATGTGAATACAAGATGGTGGTCCTTGACGACCCCTGATCTAACTGGTGGTTTCACACAATGTGTTTTTATAATTTTTACATTTCCCCATATTTTCATTGCACACTTCGTTATTTTATATAATTAATTGTGTCAATTGACATCCATTGATAATTTTTTGCCCCTTTCGGGCTTTGCATCTTGTTAAGAGTTGGTCTTAAATCATCTCCTTGTTTGCTTAGATGATTTCTGCTATTTCCTAACTTGGTTTTGGTCTCAAACTAAATATGCTCCCCTCGCTATGTCTCTTCATTTCGGTTTTTGTCTTCACCAATCTGATTGTATTTGACACATAACCACTTAAATTGGCATTTTAACCGAGAAGATTGGTAAACGTGGAAAGGCGCTAACAATACTTGTTTTTTTCTGTCCAGGCGGCTCTGGCAGCGCCGTCGTGGTGTGCCATGCCTCCTGCGGTGATGGGGTTGCCAATGGCATCACTTTTCCTGCTGCTACTGGTCTCCACGACACCGCTGGTGCAGGGGGCCCTGCTGTATGAGGTGGACGAGGAGGTTCTGGTGGGACACCTCATCGGGGATCTCAGGCAAAGCAAGGAAGTAGCTGATATGGGACCTAACCTGGAGTTTAAGGTCATGTATTCGGCAGAGGCCAAGCATCTCATTAAAGGTAAGCACTCTACACGGGTTTAAGTTCTATGACCAATTGCATAACGCTTTCTAAGTGAAAATCTCTCTTTACTGACACTGATTCAGATCGGGGTAGCTAAGAGATTGTATTTTAAGTTGTGATTATTTACATTATTTTGCTGCTTTAAATGTCCAAATGATGGGCCACTTTATTGAACTTGTATTTGTGACCAGGTCGCTTGTGAAAAATAACTTAATACCTCGGTGGGCTTTGCTTGGTAGGATGGGGATGGTTTATTTGTATTTGTATGTGTTTGGGTTATTTGTTTACATTTCTTGTACCTTGCACTTTGATCATGTTTTTGTATTGTTTGTTGTTATAACGTTCTTACCCGCCCCGACTGGACATCTTGAACAAAGAGCTTTATAGCTCATTGGATTTTTCCAGTATAAATATATTCTGATTCTTATCATTTACAGCCCTATGTCGATCCATTGCTGGATGAAAGGCCTCCCCATACCGGCATAAACCACACTGCACAACCACTACACACCTACTTTTATCTGTGCCTTGGAAACAATACGTTGTCTCTGTCAATGTGACATTTAATATATTTTCATGAAGACTACAACACCCCCGAAACCAATCTCTGCAAAATGTACTCCACCACTCTAACATTGGCCAGATTTACGTAGCATTTGAAAAAGATTGGCAACAACAAAATGCATTATTTTTAAATGCAAATATTTTTGTGTACCAGCACGATGAGCATGCACGTTTGTTAAAGCCTATGCCCTACTTGTACGTCTATTTGTGTTTCTATGCGAAAACTTTTTTCCATGGTAAAATCCCTGACAATATTGCAGCCTCCCTCAGTGGATTGAGTTGTTAGTTTTTAATAATATCAATAATTCACAGCCCCTTGTCAACACTGTTGCAAGTGACATTCGCTGCCCTCATGGGTCCTGTCCCCATTTCTCATTTGCCTGTGTTTCTTTTCTGTCTCATCCCCATGTGTTTTTTCCCTTCCATTGTCTTTGGTCCTCCTGTGCCCCATCCCCGTGTCTCTTGTCCTAACCCTGTGCCTTTTTTCTCTTTGTCTCCTCTGCGTGCATTTCTTACACCCTGCACCCCATGTGTCTCCTCTCCCCCTCCGCACCCCCTCCCCGTGCGTAGTGAACGAATTGTCGGGCGAGCTTTCCGTGGCCTTAAACCTTGACCGTGAGGCTCTGTGCATGGAGGAGCCCGACGCGTGCAGGAGCACCGGCTTCATGCACACCGTGCAGGTTGCCGCCATGGCCAAGGGCGAAGGCTCCAGTAACCTCCGTCTCCTCGACGTGCAGCTTTTGGTGCGCGACATCAACGACCACGCACCAGCCTTCCGTGCGCCGCATCTCAATGTCTCCATCTCTGAGAGCGAGGCCGTGGGGCGCCGCGTGCCGCTGCCCCGTGCCATTGACCCCGACGCTGGCGACAACGGCATACAGCATTACCGAATCTCGGCGGCCAACGGAGATGGGCTCCAGCTCGGGCCCTTCAGCCTCTTCGAAAGCGATGATGACGATGATGGCGGCGGGGTTGGTGTTGATGGGGATGGTGGCATGGGCCGTCGGGCCCTGCTGGAGCTGCGCGAGCAGTTGGACCGCGAAGCGGTGCCCTCGTACGAGTTGCTGCTGTGGGGCGAGGACGGCGGCAACCCGAAGCTCTCGGGCTCTGTGCTGCTTACCATTGTTGTCGTCGATGCCAATGACAATGCGCCAGTGTTCGTTGACCCGCCGACGCGGCCCGTCCGCATCACCGAGCACTCGAAGGTCGGCACAAGTGTTGTGCAGCTACGTGCGGCCGACCCTGACGCTGACCTCAATGGTGCCATCACCTACTCCTTCCACACGAAGCTCACATCGCTGGCGACGCAGGCGGCATTGCTTGTGGACGGCACGACGGGCCTCGTCACGGTGGGGAATGCGGAAAAGCTGGATCGTGAGACGATGCCCGTGCACCGGCTAGTTGTGGTGGCTCGTGATGGTGGGCACTTTTCTCGTTCCGCCTCGGTCACCGTGACAGTGGAGCTGAATGATGACAACGACAACGCGCCGGTATTTGAGGTGATCGCGCTGCAAGGCGAGTACCTCCCGGATGGCGGTGTAAAGATCGTCGAGAACCTGCCATCGGGCACGCCTGTGGTGCTCATTTCTGTGTCTGACCCAGACCTGGGGTCCAGCGGCACTGTCGATGTGCGCCTCGAGTTTCCCTCTGGTCCCAGCGCCGCCTTCGAGCTCACCAGTGTGGGCGGGTCTGGCGGGGGCGGTGGAGCCGGATCGACTTCGTCGGTGGGAGCAGAGCTCGGCAGCCCCAACAAGGTGCAGTTCCTGCTGAAGACGACGCGTCTTCTGGATTACGAGGAGGCGCAACAGTACAATGTGAGCGTGTTGGCAGCGGACAGGGGTAACCCCAAGCTCTCCAAACTATTGAACCTCGTCATCTCCGTGGTGGACGTCAATGACAATACGCCGGTCTTCATGAACCCCGCATCGATCGAGGGCGATGTGGCCGTGTACGAGGTGTCGCTGCGTGAGAATGGCCCAGCTGGCACTGTCGTACTGAACCTCTTGGCTACAGACGCTGACAGCGGCGCGAACGGGGCCATCACATTCACACTAAGCGAGTTGGCGGGTGGGGGTCCTGGGGCAGAGCCGTTCTCGCTGAACAAGCGCACGGGACAGCTGACGTTGGCGACGCCGCTGGACCGCGAGACGCGCATGCGCTACGAGCTGTCAGTGGAGGCGTCTGACGGGGGCTCGCCCCAGCGCAAGGCCCGTGCCATGGTGCGCGTCACCGTGCTCGACGAAAATGACAATGCCCCCACGTTCGTGGGCGTCTCCAATTCCACCAACTGCATGTACCAGTTCTTCGTGGAGGAAGAGACGTCTGTAGGCACGTATGTAGGCACCGTCTCAACGAGCGACCTGGACGAGGGCGACAACGCCCGCGTTGCCCTCAACCTCGTACGGGAGGCTGGGCCTGACTGGATTGGTGGCGCAAGCGATGCGGGTGGGAATAACCGGTACTTCTCGATGACACCGGGTGGGGTGGTGCGCACACTCGTGGTGCTGGACCGCGAGGTTCGCGTTCAGTATGAACTTAGTGTGAGGGCTGTCGACTCGGGCCGCCCCGCCCTGTCGGCGTCATGTCGTGTAAGCATCACAGTCAGCGACACCAATGACAATGCACCGGTGATCACGTCACCCAATACCAACGACACTTGGAAACACGTGCGCACCTTCTCGCCGGCCGGCATGCTGGTAGGGGTTAGCGTGACGGCGAACGACATCGATGCTGGCGACAATGGGCGACTGCTGTACGAGATCGCCGGAGGAAACCCCAAAGGTATCTTCCTGCTGAACGCCGACTCGGGTGCCCTGTCGCTGGCACGCACGGTCAGCGGCTCGGACGAGGGGCTGCACCGGCTAGTGGTACGTGTGCGTGATCGTGGAGGTAGTGGGTCACGACGAGTCCGGGCGGTCTCCGGGTTGCTGGAGGCAGCGACGCCGGTGCTGCTCCATGTGTTTGTGAATGAAACGGTGGAGAACGTGACGCTCATTGAGCAACTCGTGGCTGAGAGCCTGATGCGACCGCTGAGTGAGGATGTGGTGAATTTGGGCCGGCGCACGGGGCCCGATCTGCCCACGTGGGCCATCGTTGCACTGGTGGCGGCCGTGGGCGTTATCCTCCTCGCTGTCACCATCGGACTTATTGCCTTCTTTTGCCGGCGCCGCCGAAGGCAGAGTGGGGGGAGGGGCGGAAAGAAGGGCGCGCCCAGTGGCGGTGCAGGCATTATAATGTCGTCGTCGTCATCATCGTCATCCGGGCAGCACTTGCAGTCACAGCAGGCGGGCGATTTCCTCATCGCGGGCAGCAAAAAGGGGCGCAGGAAGCAGAGGACGAACAAGGGCGCCGTTGCTGGGATCCAGATGCAGTCACGCGGTGAGATGCTCGCTCTTTCACTCCCCCAGTCATCTACTTGCTCGCTGTCTTACTGTTGTGTTTTCTTGTCCAATTTTTTGCCTGCTTAACTGGTTTGCATGAGCACATTTGGTAACGTGCAGGATCACTCGCCTATGCTATTTCATCGCTTCACTATCTCGCTTATGGCGCCCATTTATGCGATTGCGAAAATCACTCTAGTGCCTACCACTCTCGCATTCTTTTGTTTTATTGTTCACTGACCATTTTTCCTGTATGCCTGCCCATCTACCTGCACACTTGAATCATCCAAGCAGTGGCTTTGCTTCCATGTATTTACCTGCTTGCATGACTACGAGTTTCCTGTTTTTAGCCCACATTATTGTTCGCTCACTCATCCGTTCGCTCATTTTGCCACCTGCTCTCTTCGCTCTTTTACCTGCTGCCTTGTCCATCTGCTCGCTTGATCGGCTCTCACTTTTTATGCCAGCCAAAGTTTTACCTGTATGTGTCTGTGTCCGCCTGTTCCCTTCTATTCAGGCTCTGTGGGTGAGCGTCTGGCCGGGAGCCCCGAGTCTCAGCCGTTCATGAAGAGGTTCCGATTCAGCTCTTCCTCATCGCACGGTGGGGGCACCAGCGTCTACCGCCCAGCCTTTCTCGCCGGTGAGACGCTCCTGCCCCCACTCACCTGCTCGTGTCCCCAATGTGTCCCTCTGTGTATCTCTCGCCTGTTTCTGTGTCTCAACGTGTGTAATGTTCACCAAAATCTGACTGCATGTCTCTGTCACGTGTGGGTTTCTGCGCTCATTTTGTGTTCCCTACTTATGTCCACATTCACCATGTGTCCGAATGTTGTCTTGTGTCTGCCAAATGTGTCCCGTCTCCATGTGTTCTTCACATGTCCCTCAAAGTGTGCCCATATTTCTCCATTTGTTCCCCATAGTTGTCTGTTGCCCATGTGTAGTCATTATTTACGTGTCAATGCGTGTCGTCCACAGTGCTACTTGAGAGCCTTTTTTTCAGGGCAAAAACCTACGTAGTTTAATAATTGTTGCAGCAAAACTCAAAATAGATATTTATTAAGTGAGGTGTGATTACAACCAAAATACAAACCAAACGGCCGATTACCTACTTATCAGCCAACTAACCAAGCAGTTGTGCAACCAATTAACCAACCAACAACAAATTTGTATGGGCAGGGAAATATGGGAGAGCTGAGACTGCAACACTGCGACACAGCCCGGTAGGAAGCGGCACCAATATTAACAAGCCCCATTAACAGCCGGGCCAGCTAAGGCAGTGCCAATTAGCACCCAGGGCTTCAAATTAGAGGTCCGGTCCATTCACGAACCAACAACCAAACAAAATACTCAACCAACTGACCAACGAAACTATCAAAGACACCGATGGCCTCCTGGCCCGCCTGATGATGCCGGCTCCGTGATGGTCGCTCGTTAATGCTCTCTTCTCATTTCAGGGCCAGACGGGGATCCAAGCCCCCCGCCAGCGTCAACATTCAAGCCGGATACTCCATCGTTCAGCACCTTCGTGGAGGCGCCAGTCGGCCGGGTCACGGGATCTGGGGGCCGTGGTGGTGGTGGTGGTTCTAGCAGAGGCGGTTATGCCAACGACGCCCCTCGGAGCAACCACAGACAGGTGACGGCGGGGACATGGGGCCACCACACTGTGCGGTGACGAGTTTTCTACAGTGCACCGGCACCGCCGGCATTAACACCACTTGTGGCGTGTTGAGTGTGTTGCGTAATTCAGGGTGATTTGTTAATAGATAGCTCACCAATTTCCAAAGATCCTTTACTTTTGAAATAGGTTATTGATTATTGTGACTCCCTATCTTACACAGGGACATTAAACGATTTAACATTTGTATTTAGATTCCTCGGATCTAGAGAGGCATGGAATAAAAATTGAGTTTTCTCCTCACTTCTCTTATTTTAGTGACATATCTGTAAAGAGATCACCCTGTCTAATAATGGAGCCGTGGGGGTCCAGTGGTAAGCGCAGTCTGCTGGGAACCTGGTCACCTGAGTTTTATTCCCTACCATAGATAGCATCAGTGGCGAGTGATATCCTGAACCCATCCTGAGCCTCCTATAAATCGAGACATCTTTAAATGATCAGTTGATGTGATGTGTAAACATCAGCACTGGAGAGACAGAGGTGGCCAGGTGTGGTGCTGGTTGCACTCCTTGTGCACTTTGCCAGCCTTCATCGTGGTTGCCAAACAAGAACATAACAAAGGTTACAAATGCGAGAGGCCAATTCGGTTGTTAGTAGCATATTGATAAATCTGTCCGAGTCCAACAGCATTTGCCCAAACGGTCTGTTAAGGGCTGTACAGTGGATGTTTGTTTTTCATCATGGTTGCCGCATTATACAGGATGTTTCTGGTGATTGTTTGTATACTGTATGTATTATATATGCCTTTCTTGCTCTGTTGTGTAAAGTCTCAATTGTTTGTGTGCTCCTGTATGCTCGTGTATGTCCTTTATGCTCTGTTATATATGCTGCATGTGCTGTATGTGATGTGTACGTAGAGTTTGTGGCGTACATTCTGTTGTCATGTCTGTTTATGGTTTTGTGTGCTGTGTGTTTCATAGGCTGCTTTACACTCCTTGTGTCATGATGTAAATTGTGTTGCGTGTGTTATGTTGCTTTGTGTGTAACATGTATGTCGGAAATTTACAAAGGAATTTTATTTGTGTGCAGCACGGGGGACCAGACCGATATGATGACGGCTACGAGCATCACATGAGCGGCCGCCCCCCTTTACCCACAACACATCACCTGAACCGTACCCACGACCGCAGCACCCCCGAGGGCAGCGTTGGTGGGCGCGACGACCCCGAGACTGGCGGTAATCACCTCTAACCTGTCCCCGTCTGACCTGGCCTTTACCCGTTAACCTCTGATTTTTATTCATCCTTTCGCCTTTTCTGTGTGATTTCTTCACCTGTTGGAACTGTTACTCTCTGAAATAACCCTACGATTTCGACCTCGCTCACCTGTAACATGTATAAAATGTGATCTTTCCTGAAGCATAACCTTCTCACCTTTGACCCTCAACCAGTGACCCGATGAACCTGATGAGGTGAGGTGGAATCCTGTGGTTCTTTTAACCGAGGGGTTGGAGTTTGTTAATGACACCCGAATGTTGGCCATTGAGAGGACAGACTAACTGAGAAAATGTACTAATTAATGATGAATGAACTTTGCTCGTTAATTGTGAAACCAGGTTTGTAATGAGGTAGCATTGGTTGCTAACAACAGGACTTGCCTTATTGAATGAATGCACAAAAATACTATTAAATGAGATTGTGCACTTAATTTGGCTAACTTCCAGCTCTCCGAAATTAAAACCATCAGTTTGGCCATTACATGAAGAACATTACACTGGCAGGGTAGGAAACTGCTGCCCCCTACTGCGTGGAACATAGGTCACTTGAATGTATTTCAGAGATAGCTCTGATAACCACTTCTATGAGCTCTACTCGAACACAAACGTGAAGGGTTGCATTGTTCTGTGAGACTTCCAATGGTTTCTTCATCTCATGACGTGATGCCAATAGCACAATCGGATTGAAGTTTCAGGAAAAGACAGCAACAAATAAAGAGACGTTACTCACAAATGATGGCGAAATGTTCAATTGCACTACGCCACTTTTCCTCCTCCCTCCCCTGCCTTCAAAAAATCCTCAATCTGTGATGTTTTATCTCATCATAGGGTGGTGGTTCGTTAGGGATCTCGCCTCCGGCAGTGCAGCTCCACGTGATAATTAATCATTAATTGGTGTCACTCGCCACTTGGGGGTTATATTTGGCTGCGGCGTGGGCCGTGCGTCCGCTCTCGGAACTGGAGGTTTTCGAGTCTACGCAGATGCCTGCTAATTAATATTCATTGTTATATATAGAATTATTACCAATCGGGCGACCGACACCATCTCCCAACCACTCACGGGGTATCATACACTGCCGAGAGATAGGAAAAGCAATGCATGAATTAGAAAACGTGCCCAAGTTCGATCAATTGCATTGGTTGTGAAAAAAAGCAAATTGGTCTTTTGCAAGACCTGTTGCTAGAAGGGATGATGGCCAAATGGTCTTGAATAATAGTGGAGTAGCAGCCAAAGGCATGGAACTCGCCCGAAAGCATATCCACCGTGGGCGATGAAATCGGCCCATGTGCAGGAGCTATATGGATTGTTGGATCACGAGAAAACGTGATAAATTGGAGGATTTATAATTATAATCGCACGAATCCTACAACCACAGTTAAATTCCAGAATTGGCTATGCTCCGTGGTGAGTGATGTCTGAATCGGTTGTGCCCTGCCCACCTGCCCCAAATTCACTGTTTAGCACTGACCAGGCTGGTTAAATATGGTCAGATAACCCACAAGACTGATGGTGTACATAGGCTTTAATCCAGCAGTTGACTGACACATGGGTATAACCTATAAGTGTAATTATTACCTAACATGTGCCATTGATTGAAACAAAGTTTACAGAGTCTGTAATGTCACTTACAAGAGATTGGGGGACCATGACCTAGGACTTGAGGTTGAATTTGACATTAGTTCATAGTGACAGAATATGTAACAAACTATACATGAATGCTTTTGGCCAAACATCTGTATACGGAAGCTTTCAACAAGTGTTTTGAGACTCGGTAATGCTTTCCTGGGTGAATGAAATGGTGTTTTTTTTAACAGGTCTCTGAAGCATCTTTTAATGTGATCTAAATTATATTTTAAATATCTAATAGGTCTCTATGATAGCAAATGTTGATCACTTTTATTACTACAGCTCTTAAATTTAATGGAGGGCTATAAAGTCCAACTCTTGCGTCCATTCCCTTGGGGTGTGAGATTACGTTTGCGAGTGACGCCGCTCACCACGTTCCTCTTTCACCTACACCCCATACTGCATCTACATCCCACACACTACACCCCACACTTACACATACTCGATGCGTGCAATCTACACCACATCCGTAACCCCCACACTGCACAATCTACACGCACACTATGCTCTCCACCAATCCCAAAACCCACACCCGATACACCATTTATACACACTGCTCTCACCACTTCCCCTCCCTGTCTCGTGCTACAGGCCGCCTGCCTGACATTGCACGCTACCCTCCTCCTCAATTCCAAGACTACGCAGATCCGGTGGATGCCGATGTCATCTACGACCCACGCGGCTTCGACCCCCATGACTACAGCCAGGACTATGATGACCAGCACGACTACAGCAACCAGCACGACTACAGCGACCCACCCGACTTCAACAACCAGCACAACTACGACAACCAGGATCACCAACACTATGGCGAGCAGCTGTACAGTAACCCAGACCGTGACTACGAGCAGGAAGCGTACAGCTATCCGGATTACGACCGGCCACACGAACGCACGGCGAGGCATGTGCCCACCACCGAGTTGTGAGCTTGTACACGAGCGAGTGTGTGTGTGTGTGTGTGCATGTGCTTGCGGGCGTATGCACGTGCATGCACACACACACACTGGCGCACATGTACATGTCTGTGGGTATGTACGTGTTTGTGTGTATACACACGGCCATGTGTACACGCACAGCATGGTTAAGCACACCATCGAGTTGTAAGCTTGCGATCATGTACCTGCAGGTATGCATGTGTGCACTTCACATGTACATTAGTGCATGCCAGGTGCGCAATCTTGCACGTGTACCATACGCGTGCGTGTACATCCGTACAACTACCATGTACACCTGTGCCTGTATATGCGTGTGGGTGGGCTCATGGGTGTGTACACTTGCCTACAAGCACACAGTGTACATGCGTATTAACACAATGCATTTGTTCACACCTGTGTATCTGACCACCTGTATGCACACAGGTGTGTACCTGTGTGCATACAAATTGTATATAAAGTTGATCTTGTATGTCACATTCAAGCAAAAATTCACATCGTGCATACAGACACATACGTGTGAATGTACGCACGCGCATGTACACATACGCGTACACACATAGTACACATATACACGTTCAAGAACGTACACTTGCAAACAACCATATGCAGCATTCATGTACGTGAACCCTCCCACAAACATCCCGTGTATAGCCTGAACAGACTGGTGGCGAAAGTTCTGTTGGCGATCGCCTATTAAGGCCACCATGGCACGTGAGGGGGTGCGTGGCCAACACCATGCCCGGCCACCTTTGTCTCCCCAGTGGTGATGTTACACACCACACCAGGTACTCATTTGAGGCTGAGTTGACCTACAAGAGGCCCATGACCGGTTCAGATACTCATCACTGGTGTTGCAGCGCACTAACCGCTACACTACCGCTTCCCATGAATCGACCCCCACCCCACACACACGCGCGTGGTATGCGGTCTCATGTCAAATTAATTAAGGAGATTAAAAATAAGAATAAGCCATTTCGCTAACTAACTGCTTGTTGCTATGGTGACATTAACGTTAGTCATAGAGTAATTGGGGTGATGGTCTGTGTGCTCGTGCATCTCGTTTGTAAAAAAAAAATGCGTCTGGGTCTTTAGGCACTTTAAAACGGGGACATTCAAAATGTTGAGTTCAGTGATGGGTGGTGTTACGTTGTCTACCGGCGTTTGAAAATCTCAATTACAGAGATTCATAACCTGGGATTAACATGTTAACTTTGTGAATAAAAGCTCATTAACTCAAGATTAACACACCTTCAAACTGAACTGAACCTTATTATCTTGGGCTAAAATGTATCAAGTTGAGCTTGTACCTGAGTGCTAACCAGATTTTGTTAACGTGGGATGAAGTAACTGACACGTCAGCCTTGTCAACAAGAACTTGTTATGCCAGGCATAATTACATTTGCGGGCTTTCATTAACCTGCACTAACCTCCGTTAGCAAGAGCTAATTAACCCAAGATAACCTTGGTAACCCAGGCTAGCCTTGGCAATGGGAGCCCTTACACGGGGTTACCTAACTCTGTAACCCAATCCAACTTTATCCGAGGGCCATCTCTGCAGATAACGGTTTTACAAGTGAGGTGCGATTGTGATTTCATTTTTGTAAAGACGGTGTTATAATGTTTATTTTTGTTAACGTGCAAATAGATAATTGCTTACGGTATTTTTTAAAATAAATTTGTTTTATATTTAATATCTCGCCAATGCCAGGAAAGGATGTGCGCGAGGTGGCGTCGTTACAAGTGTCGATCGGCGTTCACTCGCACAAAACTAATTAGGTGATTTTTTTTGCTTCCCTTATTACAGCTTTCAAAGACAAACAAGATGGAAATAGTTTCCGCTTGGGGGTTTTGTGCAACCATTTGCGGATTGTTGTCATGACAGGATGTGTGTGTAATATTAGTTTGCGAGTGAAACGCTTCGTCCATAGACAATATTGACTTGAAGTTTTTGTTAAAACATCGCGATGTCTGTTGCGAGGATGCCGCCGTACTGGGCGGTGATCGTCCATTTTGCTTACGCTGGCATCATTAATAGCGTGTCATAGTTTGATATCATCATCATCCTTGATAGGGGAACTGCCCCGTGTCAACATGGCTGCTTGGTTACAACAGCGAGTTGTCAAACGGACGTCTCGTCACTACATTTGTAATTATTATTGCCTTGAAAGTATAAAAAGCCAACACAGACAAACTCTTTGGTATTTTCGGTAAAGTCACGTAGGTAAAACAATCAATAAAAGAAAATAAATGAAAACAACTCAATTAAATCATTAATTTTATTTTATTGATTTTTTTACCTACGTGACTTTACCGAAAAAACCAAAGATTAAGAATCCTTGCAGTCACGAAAGCTTCAAATCTAGAAACAGTAAGACAATTTTGACCAATTACCCTCAGAGAAAAAGAGGGAGCAGCCTGACCGTTATGACTTAGAGTTGGAGCATACAAAGGTTGTTAATGGTTAACCTGCACTGTAGTTTTTAAAAACCAAATCAAACTTGCCTGATTTTTCTAGGTATTCCACTCTTACACATGATTTGCTCCCATTGTTGTCATGCCTTCATGATAAAGTGTATATTTCTCTCGGGCAATTATGCAGCAAAGTCAGGATATGATTTCACATCCTCATCAGTTTTTAGACTCGCTCCTGAAACACTGAACTATACTACTGTGTCAGAGACGCGTATTACCAAACTTTAATTTAAGCTGTTATGGCATCTTCCTTCACGATGAACTTAACACAACACCGTCACGCAGTACATAACGCACCGTTTGCCACCATATGGAAATGCCAAGACTGATTTGCGCAGCCATATGATGTAGCTTCACACAGGAGTTGCCAGATATTGCCACGACCAGCTCCACCGAATTCAGAAGCGATTTGTCACAATTTTATGTAAAACAGAGAGTGCAGGTTAACTGTAAATGACCCTCATATATTCTGCAGTGTGGTGCCTTGTAAACATTCAGACATTGGGAATGTAGTAGTATTAATGTGGAGACTATTTAAGAAAGGGTTTATATGAACAGATAGTGTGGCAAACACTTTAATGGCAAAACAATTACAAGTTTAGGAGACCCTTGAATGGGAAAACTAGTAAAAATAATAAAATGGAGTTTTGAGTTAAGGTAATGCACAAATCCAAAACTGTAAAATGTAATTAATATTAGGAGAAACTTATAAAATGCCACATGGCATCGCAAGTGTGTGACGATATCTGTGTGGGCGCACCACTGCCAACGCAGTCCCTCCAAGTCTTTTTTGACGCAGGTTACCGGCGTCTGAGTGAGCGACACGCGTCGCCGAGGGACACTCACTGTCCCTACGGCCGGGAAATCTGCGCTTCGCTTCCAAGTACAAAGGCGCCGCTTTGCTAATTTTAAAATATACGTTGTAAATGTTTTCTTTTTACGGTGCGAGTGAGTGCTTGAGAGCGAGGTTTTTTTGTCCTGTTCAAAATGAAAATGGAATGGATGCGGTTTGAATAAAATGAAAAAAACTATTAATTGTTTTTAGACCTGGCTGGCCATGTGTGCTGCTTTTTAGGGCTCTTTGGCCAGGTACAAGCGTAGATCATTTTCTTCACGATCTCAAATGACCAATCGGCCTGAATACATCAGATCTCTGAAGCTAGGAGTTTGAGACTGGATAGTGCTTGGATCTGAGAACCCCCCCCCCCCCATGCATATAACAGGTATTGTAAGCTGCTGCGAGGGCAGTGCAGAACAATTCATTGTACACTACTGTACTGTGTTTCCCATATCTGTTCCTTGCCTTCAACAACCCAGACTGACCAGCATGGTGAAATATGGTTTAAAAAACCCAGAGTATAGTATGGTCAAATACCATCGCAAAACGTGTTGACCGACTATGTGCGGTTGCCGAACTAAAAAGCCCTGGGAAGCGTGACTTGTGATGATGCAAGGCTTTGCTTTCCCGGGGAGATCTGGAGGGACGTCTCTGCCTCGTGACTTGACTGAATTTTGCACTAATTTGGATATAATTGGTGCCATGCTGTTTTTTTGGATAAATTTTTTTCTAACAGTCCAGCATGAAGGTCCTCCTTGCAATGATCCCTTGACTTTGTGGGTATAATTATATATTTTTTAACCAGCACATAAACTCATACGCAAGCACAAATACAATAGATATCTAAACCTAGCACTAAACATAGAAATATTCAGATTCCTCTGACTTTAACAGATGTGGGGCAAATGCTTTTAGCAAGCACCTAGTTAAGGCCAGTATTGTACACGAGGGGTGGTATGGCCAACATGTCTCCCCAGTGCTAAGGTTGACACACGGCATCAGCTACTCAAGGCTTGGTTGATTTTAGGATAGCACCAATAACGGTTTGGAAATCAAGCGCCACTTATGTGAGCCATAGCCGGGACTTGAACCCAGGTGGCCAGGTTCATAACTCGGCACCACTGTTTCCCGCACATGTAGACACATACACACAACTAAAAAAAAACATACATTCTTGGTTCTTTCGGTAAAGTCACGTAGATCGAAAAAAAAGCAAAAAACCCACTAAGTTTCGATCGTAACACAAGCGGTCTTCATCAGTCTTCTTGGTTTTTTCGGTAAAGTCACGTAGAAGGGAAGTAATAAAATAATAAAAATAAAACATAATAAAATAATTCTCCCGATGTTTCGGCTACAACGCAAGCAGCCATCTTCAGGTGAAGAATGAGACACTACCAAGCTAGGAGCTTATCTATAAGCTGAGTTGGAGGTGGAAGAAGAGCGCCTTAACAAAAGAATGTGCATATCAAGAGGAATTTAGCATATTCATGGGAAATGCGTAGGAGGTGGAGAGAAGAAATGTCACCACCCCCCCCCCCCTTCGTAGTATTCATCCGTCCTGGCTGTCAACTCCCCCTCCAAACGAACGAATTATTTAAATGCAAGAAAAACATAGTGTGTCTCGACAATAACAGAACAGAAATAAATACCCTAACCCGCCTGTACAAAAATTACACTATCCACAAATGTACAAACCAACAGGGAGAAGTGTGTAAACCAACGAACCCATAATAACAACACCACATCAACAAGGCTTATATAAATAAGTAATATAAAAAAAAAACTTTTTAAAAAACACGCTTTAATTAAATGTGGCGAAACTTGCCATAACGTAAGGGACCATGGGGATTTTCAGGCAACGTCAGTTGTGCGTGGACAATTAGACCCAAGCCGAAATATACCATAAAAAATGATGTTTAAAATGCATGAATAAGCTGCCCTGCAGAACCACCGAGGCGATGCCCTGTCGATCATCGCCCCCATCAGCTTCCCTCACACGACGCCGCAATTTGAGTAGTGAAGCGTCTTCCGCCTGAAGGCGTCCCCATTCCACGTAATCCAGACCGAGGACCGCATCCCGTGCGTCCGGACCAGCACCCGCCCTGCCTGTCGCCGCATCGGCAGGGACTCCTCCGCCGACGGCGAAGCGTTGTGCGGCCGCCTGGCGCCCTGCTCCACCAGCAGCGTCTCCACTTGCATCCTCCGGAGCTGTAGGCAGGCACAAGGTCCTCGTCCTCGCTGTTCATCGTCCTGGTACGTGGTCTGCAACATGTAGACATAGTCTACTGCTAGCTGCATAGACTAGCGTGTTGGCCACTTCCGACACCAGTTGTAGTGAGTCCAACTGAGTCGCAGACGTTTCTCTTTAGATGCAACACATTTATTGCAACATCAACAAGTTAACACAAAGGGGTAACTGCCCCTTCACCAGATACAGCCTAGGGTGGTGACCACCCAGCTAACTACACTATACGTAGGAGTTATCGCTACGAAGGGTCAGACTTTCACTCATGTCCCCGGCCACGTGTTGATGCCTCGTAGGACGTAGAGCTTCCAGCTTGTAGAACGTGGAGCTTCCAGCTGTCGGACGACGAACCCCGGTCCCTCTCAGGGACCCACCTTATATCCTCCCGGGTCGGGGCCGCTCCGCCCTCGGCCCCACCCGCCTTCTCGAGCATTCTAGCTCCCTCTCGACCCCCCTCGAGAGCTCTCCCTGGACACGTGCTCACTCCCTCGCCCCCCCCCCCACCTGGGGCCTTCTCTGTGGACACTCCAGATCACGTGTTTCTACGGGGTGAACCAGAGTGACATGGCCCGGGGCAACCCTGTCCCTGGGCTGACACTCTCCCGCTCCCCCTTGTGGGAGCCCGCACTGCACGCTATGCGTGGTGCCCGCGTTATCCCAGCGCTCACCAAGCCCCGCTCGGGCTGGTACTACACCCACCTACGGGGTGTACGCAATGACGGTGTATCGCATGCCGTGCTGTGCTAGAGCCGGCATCACACAGCAACCCACACGGTGCTGTCCACGACGTAGGAACATCGCACGCCACGGCCCTCCAGGGCCGGCACCATACAGTGACAATGTTACGTGTGAAATGTTGATATTGGGTTTGTTTATCATTCAATTATGTTGTGGAGCTGGGCAGATAGTTCAGGTCAGAGCGCTGAACAGATACTGGGTTCGAATCTGGGCAGCCACCCATCACCAAACCGGCTTCTCCAGTGTAAGGAGTTTATGATCTCTGCTCAATCATTCATGACGACACAAACATGCACCATGTTAAATGTAGTTTTTCACTTTATAAATCACAAGTGTAAAAAAAAACCTGTAGTATTGTGGATTAACCACTTGGAAGGGTTTTTAAAAGCAGTTCCGTGAAAATATCCTTGCTCAGTCTTGCTAGACCACGTGTCGCATCGCTGCGAGATTTCCAAATGGTTTGTCTTGAATGATGCCGACGGTGCACCGGAAATTAAATTGGGAGAATAGGCAAACAATGTTTCAAATCGCTTTAAACTATTGTCATTGTAGTGAGTATTTAATGTGGCGCTGCACTCTGATTTTGTAACAGAAAACATTTATTAAAACGTCTATTTAATTAAGTAGACCGTGTTGTGTATATTTATTTAAAGTTGCGCATTTTGATGTGAACATCACATTTCTCAACCCCCCCCCCCTCGTCACACATCGTCACAAATGTCTGACCCCCCCCCCCCCTAGGTGCGTGACGTCATTTATGGACGGCCCCATAGGTATCCCACTAAAAAACAATGGAAAAATTACGGAGAACTTCATAGTATTTCAAAGCTTTTACCTGTCCCCCACCAATCTCAATATCACATCAAATATGTCAACACTTCTCTAAAAATAGAGCCATCACTTCCACGATATTCATCCACCGATCGAGGACGAGGGTAATCATGTTTAATATGTGGAGTATCTGTACATGGATCACGTGCGCATGATGTAAGGTTAAAGGGGCAATTATTGTACAGTACATGTGTTGGAGTTTGTGCAATGGTGCTAATAGCGGTTGTTAGACGAGTTACGATGCAACCACCATGGACTCCATGGATTGGTCATGATTCGTGGTCAGGATGCTTTTAGCCGAATGTGTGTGTGTTCGTCTGACGTTTTTTAAAATTATTTCTCACCCGTTCTGTATCGTTTCCTGTTTCGTCCGCTCCTTTCGCCTGAATGTAACGCGTATAAATCGTAAATAACCCCACGCCTACACTTCGATGCACGTATCCGTGAGTATTAAAATACATTTTAATTAACTGATGTGTCGTTACCCTAGTGGTTGTGCTATGAACCCCGCCGGAGGAATGTGGAATTTCCACCAAACTACCAATGGGGATGATCACTGTCCAACGAGCGGGGCGGGGGGGGGCACATTGTATTGTTATAGATGTATAGCCCTTGTCAATCCACTGTTGGATGAGGGCTATATACAGCAAACCGCGCTGTTAGTGACTACCTATTAAGGCCGGAAAGCCACACGCGGCGTTGGTGTGCCCAGAACCGCGCCCGGGCCACATTTGTCTCGATCTTCACGCTGCTGAGTGCGGGTGGGTGAAGTCGCGGAGCGGCTGTGTGGAAGCATAGAAGTACTGCTCTACTTGCATGTTTGGCCGCACTGCCCTCTGCTGCCCGCCACGTAGTCCCACAGTCAAACTATATAACCCGGGTTTGCCTGCAAAGTGCTTTGATTCACGTTGTTTCGATATTCGTCGCGCCTTTCAGGAACGCATCCCCGACGTAAACCGGAATGTCACTCTACTTTTGTATTATCGTGGCTCAAACCCTGCTTGGCTTTTGAGATCGGGGGGTGCGATCCGAGTGATTTTTATGTTGTTATAATATTGTAGCCTGGATAATACACTGAGATGGAACGTCGCGTTTGCGGGTGGGGGGTTCATGAATTGGTCCGAGTCTCGTGTGAACGTGACTGTCATCTAAATTAACGCTAACTTTAGTCGCAGCTATCAATCGTGTCAAAGTATATTGACGTCCTTTCCATCTTTGTAAATAACACTGCGAGCTGACATGGAGAAGGGGCCGAGTGGTGACAGGTTTAAACAGAAAGTGCTGATCTCAGCGGATTAGACCGCCTTGCCTCTAATCCAGCTTTTCTGGGATTAATCCCTCCACTCACAGACACTCCTCGCATGCCCCGTGCAGGTGGCAGCGACAGGCAGGGAAGAGAGGTGAGTGTTTGCACCCTGCCTTTTTTCTTGAATCATCATTAGCATCGTTAGCACTGCCAGGCTATGTTCATTGTCATCGGTGTGTTACGAAGTCGCTGCTTAGGTTAATATATAGCAATTATTTAAAATCACAACCCTTTGGTGGGTGTTGGCGTTGGCCACACCGTGTCAGTCGTGACGATTGTTTCGACCATACTTCACCACGTTGGGTCAGTGCGGGTTGGTTAAGACGTGGGGGTTGGATCCAGAAACCGGTCCATATATCACTCCCTACTGATATTAGCCGTAGCCAGGAGTCGAACTTGGGTGGTCCGGTTCACAACACAGCGAACTGTGCCGTGAACCTTATCAAGGTAAGCCTCGCTGGGTCTCGACATTTTTTTGGAGGGATCTGCATTGTAATATTTGACCAATAATAATCATAAGTAGCACTTGCGCCTGAAAAATGCGTACGATGAATAACATGCTAATTTAAAATAACAGCATTTTTTCTCACTGCCTTTGAAAGGAAGGGAATATTTTGCCCAACGGGCCTTAGGATATATTCACTGGGTTTCCAAATGAAATTATATTTCTGTAATCCATTTATAATACATAAAGTGACTGATTCATAATTTATGTTTTTGTCTGGCCGTGTGACTTAAGGTAAATCCTAAATACGGTAATTCTAGAAGGCCTAGCAAAGTTGAATATCTGCTTATATCTAGGGAAATTACAAATCTAATATTTTGCATTGATGAAAAAAGTATGATCCGGGGATTGATCGTGTTGACTCATAGGGCAAGTTTGCCCAAAAATGATGCGTTACTTTCTTATGCTGATCATCAATTAACCAAGTAAGTTGCCTTTTGTGGAGCGTGACGCTCAAAGCAATACGTATCAAGATAATCCCACTACCAGTTGAGAATAATAATGTATATCACCTACTGAGTACTACTGTACATGCATTCAAATTTTTTAATGTGTGCTTATTTTGGGGTACATTTTTGAAGGAGGTATGGTTTGTTTATCTGCCTATATATTTCACAAGCAATTGTTATTTTAGTTCACTGTTACAAGGTGGCCAGGAGATGGATGCACGTAGCACAGATTCCAGCTTCACCTGCCCTAGCTCGACTTGAGCTGACTTTTACTTGACCCAAAACCGACCTTCAATCGGACCTCTCCAGGTCTTAACTCAATGACCCGACTTGACCTGATCTAAAACAAGAATAACCTGAATTTATCTTGACCCGTTCCATATTGGCCTGAGCTAACGTGATCCCATGACGTGACCCGATTTCGCTCAACCGGACCTGACCTCAATTGACCCCCACTGTGACCTCACCTGCCTTCATTCTGACCCAGCCTAAAGCAACCCTAACTTTACCTGACCTTGACCCGACCTGGCCCCTTATGAGAAATCCTCAGCGAACTCTAAAACATGTCCCTCTGTGTATCCCCCACTCACGACGCATGCGTGGGACAACAGGGACATGGGACGCAGCAGCAACAACAAACATATAGGTGACAACAGCAGCAACAACAATAACAACAACAACAACAAAGGTGGCGACGAAAACGACAAGGTCAACAAAGATGGGTGAGTCTGATGTGGGGCGCGTGGCTGGGCAGTCTCAGTACAAAGGTGTCTCTTTCCAGGTGTGGCCAGGTGCGCGTGTGTGTGCGCGCACGTGCGTGTGCTCAGGTGTGGGGAGCGGTGGTGTAGTGATTAGCGCGCTGCGCTACAAACCCCTACGACCCGAGTTCGATTCCTGGTCACGGCCAACACACCAGTGAGGATTTTCTGAATTGGTCCCGGGCCTCCCCTGGGTCGACTCAGCCTCAAATGAATACATGTTGCGGTGTTTAAACATCCCCACTGGGGAGACAAAGGCGGCCGGTCGTGGTGCTGGCCACCCACCCGCTCGTGTGCCGTACCGGCCTTCATAGGTGCTTGCTAACGACACTTGTGCCAACAGTCTGTTGTGGCTATGGGTGGGAGGGGGTGTTGGATCTTTGTCTTGCATTTGTCAGTCATCTCAGCGAAACCCATAGCACCTGGGTCTGTCCCGTGACCTGTCATTGGGCGTTCGACGTGGTGTAAAAGCGCACATAGCCTGGCACAAGCTCCGCGGTGACTTCACCGCCACTTAGAAGCGAACGGCAGTTGTTGCGTGTGCAACAGATATCTCTGTTTAGTGAGTTCAAATGAGTCGCAGACGTAGACTTGGAGGCAACACATTTATTTAACTCCAACACACGGGGTAACTTCCCCTTAACAGAATAACAACCTGTAGTGGTGACCAGCAGGCTAACTGCACTAATTACAACGTAACGAGCTACTACGGAGCGGGACCAACAGCTCGGGTCCAGGTCCACGTGTTGGAGACTCGGAGAACGTAGAACGTTGACGAAGGTATCTTCCAGAATGAACAACCACCCTGGCCCCTCTCGGGACCCAGCTTATATTCTCTGCTGGGTGGCTGGCTCCGCCCTTGGCCACAACCACCTTCCAGAATCCTCGGGAAGGATCTGGATCCCCACCACGTGACCCCCCTAGCCCCCACTTGGGGACCCTTTGTAGACTTAACTGGTCACGTGTCCTCTCGGGTCAACCAGAGTGCCATGGCCTTTAGTAACCTCATCCACGGCCGGCACGCCCACACCCTGTCCTGTAGGGGCTGGCACTGCACGCCAAGCGTGGTGCCATCTAGCGCTATCGATCAGCGCTCACCGGGCCCCTCTAGGGCCGGTACTATACACACACCACAGTGGTATCCGCGATGTCACTACACCGCACGCCGTGCCTCTCTCGGGCCGGCGCGATGTTACTACATCTCTACACAGTTGTGTGTTTCAGGTGTGAGCTTCCAGGTGTGTAAGCAAGTGTCCACACGTGTCTTCAAATGTCCAGATTTGAGAATCCAGATATCGGCTCGTCCACGTGAGCCCAGATGTAGTTGTGTGTCTGACCTTGATCGGAGTTCGCTGACAGCACTTGTCCCAAGGATATCTGTTGACATTTGCTTTGTGCCTACTCTTATGGCCAGGTTCAAGAGCTCAGATGTGCGTCTATGTCATAATATATATACACACACGTAGACTCAGGTGTTAAAGCGTGGATATGTGATATCAGCTGTGAATCCAGGTTTTTCTAGCCCAAGTTGACTCTAGCCCACGACTGACCACTGCTTATGATGATGATGATGTGCGGTGCCCACGCCACACTCAGGGCTCCGGAGAAAGAGGAGGAACCCAAACCCCCACCTCCACCGCCCCCTCCGCCACCTCCGCCCCCCAAAGAGACCCCCAGGTGAGTGCATGTACGCGTGTGTGTGCAGATGTGACTAAGCCTCAGCTGAGTACTTGTACCTGGTGCTATGTGTCATCATTACCACCAGGAAGACAAAGGCGGCCGAGTGTGGTGCTGGCCAACCATTCCCTCGTGTACTGTGCCTGCCTTCGTAGGTGCCCGCGAACAGCACTTGCCTACAAAAGTCTGTTAAGGCTGTAAGGGTTGATGGTCTTGGAATGTCCGTGTTGTTGTTTTGTATTCACATACGTTCGTATGTGGTGCAGTGGTAAGCGCGCTGCGCTGCAAACCCGGAGTCCAGAGTTCGGTTCCCGCTCATGGCCAGCATGGCTAGTGACGATTATCTGAAATGGTACTGGGCCTCCCATAAGTAGACTCAGCCTTAAGTGAGTAGAGTAGCTAGTGCTGTATGCTGTATATACCTCAGAACTGTGGAGACAAAGGCAGCCGGGCACGGTGCTATCCACACCACCCCCTCATATCCCTTTCCGGATTCAATAGGTGATCGCTAAAAACATTTCCCCCAGCTACTGTTGTCTATGCAGGATATTGGGATGGGTCTTTGTCTTTGTATATTCGAGTGTATGTGTGGTGTGGTGCGCAAGTATTTATATGTGTCACGTGTTCATCCCTCCCTTGAACACTAATGGAAATGTGTTCATGCGTATGGCCCCATGAATCCCAAGTGACCCCCATCATGATCCCAAGTGTCCCCCGTGCCCTCCAGTGTTGGCCCCATGCGAATCCATTTGCCCCCACGTGACACATCATGTGTCAACCATGTGACCCCCCATAAGACCCCATGTAATTTCACGTGAGCCCATTGTGGGCTCAGGCAGGACGCGTCGCTTAGAAGGGTCGATGGTCGGAGGTCGAGACTACGGAGTGGCAGCCAAATGAGGGAATGCACCCGAGAGGGCGTCCACCACGAAGATGGGGAGATGCAATAAGCTCGTGTTCTGGCGCTCAGTCGATTTAACATCGCAAGGGACCGTAAAATGAATGGGCGACGGTTTTGGGCAGCTCTTCATCCAGCAGTGGATTGTTCATGGCTGACGATGACACATCACATGACCACGTGATGTGTCATCATTAGTGTGTCATCATCAGTGCCCCCATACGACATCGCGTGACCCTCCCCCCCTCCCCACGCGCTCATGTATATTGCCGAACAAATTATCATGATTCCATGTGCACTTAATGTGACCCCCCCCCCCCCTCATTGCCCCTGCGGGGGTCCCTTGTGCGCCCCTCTACCCTAGTCCCACGAAGGAGGCGTTTGTGCTGGACCCCTCGAGTACCCTCTACTACCACTGGCTGTGCGTGGTCTCCGTGCCGATCATGTACAACCTCCTCATGCTCGTGTGCCGGTAGGATCTCCCCGGCGGGGGTCGGGTTCGTGGTGGTAACGATAATAATGTTTGCGGTGGTCTTGGTGTTTTTGTTGTATTGGATGGTGGTGGTAGTCAAGGTGGTGGTTGTATTTGCAAGGTTGAAGATGATGGTTGTTGTGTTGATTGTGGTTATGTTTGTGGTTTTGGTGGTGGTGATGCTGGTGGTGGTCATGGTGGTAAAAGTGGTGATGATGTATTTGTCAGTGGTGACCATTGGAGGTGATGATGCTGGTAGTTATAGTAGCGGTGCATGCTGTGTTTTGTCAGTATGGGGTTTCAATGAAGAGATGAATATATGTTTCACAGAATATGTGTTGGCATCAACATGACAGACAACATCTCCATACAATTATCTTCGGCTACAACACGCTCGTCCCAATGGCGCACATGCTTCTTCGTTCCAGCACCATAAAAGTCACCGGTTGTTGCTTAAGCCATGACTGCACCACCGCTCTTACGGCCTCATGACTGTAGAACCAACATCGGCGTAGCACTTATTTCAAAGGCCCGCACAGATGGGGAGTCAGAAGGGGCCTTGGTCTGGACTGTGTGCTGGATCAACCCATTTAAGTTTCCCAACAATTCCATCATTTGCACACACAGCATTGTAAGATTGCATTTGCTGTGCCGAAACACCACTCCCCCTTTTCAAGGGTCCATGGCGTTTCTGATGAATATCAGTCTTTAATTTGTTATCCAACTTGTTACAATCGGAAGCACTAGTGACAGTGTCCATTGTCCCGTAATGCAGTTTTTATTGGACCCTGCATATCACAAACATCGTCATCATAACCTTTCTAGCAAAGGGTTGATATATTTTTTTCTTGACTGGAGAAACTGGCTGTATCCTTTCAGTGGTCTGACACTCCCTGGCTCATAATGGATTTCAGTTTCATCGCCGTTTCAGGTTTAACGTGGGAATCTCAACCAATAAGATGTGACAAATGCAAAGCCTGTTTAATTTATGGTCGTCCACAATGTATGGGTGCACACTTTAAAAATTCAACTTTGCTTTGAATTATTGAATGAAGTGTTCCCACACTTATCCCTGTGACCGCCAATGTGTGCTTGATTCCTACTCCACCTGTCAACCTCCAAACAACATTGTTTGGAGGTTAAAGTGCCCACTGGCACCATGCTGCTGTAGTCACAAACACGCTCGCGTATTCACTGCAGCCGTTCCAACCCACACGTTTCTACGGTAAAATGCCTGCCATCTTGCAAGCAAAATCTGGAGAGAGAAAAAAAATGTCAACCCAGTACCAGGGGTCATGCCCCAATGACTATGCAGATGTTAAAATAATCGCACTGACATAGGGAATCATTAAAAGTGTCTTTAACCATTGCCGTGTTGGTTGCTGTTGGTGGTGCAGGGCATGTTTCGATGAGATGCAGACTGAACACACCTACACCTGGATGACCCTGGATCTGCTGTCAGACCTGGTGTACCTCCTCGACACCTGGGTTCGCATCCGCACAGGTTATAGATGCCTCATCGCGCCTCCTCACACTTCCTCAGCAACGCATCTCTTATCTCATTGTGCATTGTTACCCTCAACGCATCCATCACACTGCTTTACACCATACCTCATCATTCCTGATCACACCGCATTGTTACCCTCAACTCATTGCACCTCCTCACACCACCTCATACCCGTTCACATCTCACACGTGACTTTTGTTTTACGCGTACTTATCTTGAGCCCAACGTTGCAGCAGCCTTTTTTTTTTCATTAAGTTTTTCTTACACTTTCTGTACAGTTGCTCATTCCTGTTGACCATCACGATGACTTTGTGATCGCCAACTGTGAGTTGAATGTTTCCTTCATTTATATATTATGCCTTTGTTTCTTTGATCCAGTTATCAGAAAACACCGGTCAGTGTTGCTGTAACACAAAAAGAAGGCCTCAATAATAATAAAAAACATTTAAATAATATATATAAATAACGCATTACACGAGGTACTGGCATACTTGTTAGAAGTGGAGTCAAGGAGACACACTTTTGCCAACGTTATGCTCGTAAATGACTGCACTATAAATTCTACGTTTACAATGACTACCACTAAAAGGAACAACTACTCGAACAATCGCAACAACCACCACGCTGACATATATAACTACAAGAATGACACTAAACACCTCACACCTCCTAACACCTCATTCACGACCCACCGACACATTCAAACCCATTGTACCTCCTGACTGATACATGACAGTGGTGGTGGTGGTGGCGAGATGTGATGATGGAAATACGGCATGTATGTACGGACGTGCAAGGGAAGGATAACAAACTACACACACACACAAGTGAGATCATGACGAGGTGTGGCGGTGATGGAGAGGTGTGGTGTTGTGCAGGGTTCCTGGACCAAGGTCTCCTCGTGCACGACTTGAAGCGCCTTCGACAAAACTACATGAAGACGCGGCTCTTCAAACTCGATATTATCTCCATCCTTCCCACCGACATCGCTTATATATGGGTACTCAACGGGGAGCGTAGGAGCAGTGGAGCGTGTGAGTTGAGTGCTGGGAGGGAGGATGCAGAGCTTTGAGTGACAAAGGGCGTGTGGGATGATAGTGACTGATGGGGTGTTCGTAATGTGGAGTGTGACTGACTGAGAGTGATGTACAATTCTGGAGAGTTGCTAAAAGTTCGTAGATTTCTGGAGAGTTCTGGAGAGGTCCATGAAAGTGCCCAGAGCACTGGAAAGTGTGTCGATTTATGGAGGGTGCTGTAGAGTTCTGGAGAGTTTTATAGTTTTTGAGGGCACTGGAGAGAATGTCGAGTACTTGAGAGTACTGGAGAGTTTTGGGGTGAATGTAGAGTACTTGAGAGTGTTGGAGAGTTCTGGAGAGTGCCCGTGAAAATCTGTGCTGTCCCAGCTCGGCCCGGACTTCCCGGAGCTGCGCTATAACCGCGTGGTTCGCATCTACCGCATGTCCGAGTTCTTCCAGCGCACGGAGACGCGCACCAACTTCCCCAACCTCTTCCGCATTTCCAACCTCGTGCTCTACATCGTGGTGATCATCCACTGGAACGCGTGCATCTACTTCGCCATCTCCAAGGTCTCTCCGCGGTGGCGGTGTAGCTGTCGAATGATTGGTGTGCAGGCAGTGCAACATGCACTGGGGCCCCACTGGCTGGAGGGGCTTAGGTGCTGGGCTATCAAGAGAGTGGGGTGGGAAATTGCAACAGGGGGCCCCATTTCATTCCTTACACCAGGCCACACACCAACCACGCTACTCCGTTGGTCCCTGCAGCCCTGGGACTGGAGAGACAGGGGGACCTTTTACAGATGAGGGCGCCTGGGAGAGATGACGGAACGTGGGAGATAACGGGATTTCAGAAGAGGGGAACCTAGGAAATACATGGGGATCTGGGGGAGACTTGGAGGTCTGGGTGTCCCTGCAGAATTGAGGGTTCTAAGATTGAGGGGATGTGGGAAACCAGGGGACAAGAGACTCGAGGACAAGTTGACCTACGAGGTTAGTGACGGGATTTAGAAAATATGGTGCTCTGAGAGGCAGGGTTACCTGGATATCTGTGCCGCTAGGAGACCTGGGGAGTGAGGCAGCATTTGGAACAAGGGAACCTGAAGCTAAGCCTCTTCTACGTAGACTGTCCACTCGAGGACACTCGTCAATGGCGATGATGACCATTATAGCGATGTTTTCAATGATAATGATGAGTATGATATTATTGACACCGATGATGAAGTGGATGTTGATGATGATGTTGTCATCTCTCGTGTGCAGGTTATCGGGTTTGGCTCTGATCAGTGGGTTTATCCAGATGTCAACATCCCTGAGTACTCTCATCTCATGCGCAAGTACGTATACAGCACACAAATGCAGATAGTTTACACACGTACATGCAACCTTATACTTACACATCATTCAGTTAAGACAGGAATGCAGGTATAGTGAGTTCAACTGAGTCGCATACACACTTCTTGGAGGCAACACGTGTTAAACATTTATTATACCAACACACGGGGCTAACAAGATAACAACCTATGGTGGTGTAACTAGCTACAACGGACCGGACCACAGCATGGGTCCGGGTCCACGTGTTGGTGACTCTTCAGGACGTAGAACGTAGACTTCTTCAGGATAACAACAGCAACGCCGAACCCCGGTCCCTCGTCTTATATCCTCTGTGGCGTGGCTGGCTCCGCCCTTGGCCACGACCACCTTCCAGAATCCTCGAGCAGGATCTCGACCCGACACGTGACCACCCCTAGCCCCCACTTGGGGCCCCTGTGTAGACTTTACCGGTCACGTGTCCTCCGGGGTCAACCAGAGTGCCACGGCCTTTAGTAACCCCATTCCGTGACTGGCACCCTCACACCTGATCCTGTAGGGGTCGGCACTGCACGCTGAGCGTGGTGCCACTCAGCACTATCATTCAGCGCTCACCGAGCCCCTCTACGGCCGGTACTACACCCACATATACGGGGTGTCCGCGATGTCAATACACCGCACGCCGTGCCCCTCTCGGGCCGGCATTACACAGTGACATCCACGATGTCACTACACAGGTATTATCAGCGCAGGTTGAATATTTACCTGGGTTATGGCAACTAGAGTCACAACGATGCATCGATTGATATAATTGAACCAAACCATACGTGCATTGATTTGCTGACCAAATAATTGATTATTTAGCATGCGTAATTCATGCTAAAGCCAATAATATTGGACTGTTGCGTCAGTTCCCGAACTGGTACGGCACAGGGAGGAAAGCAATGCGCTGGAGACAGGACAATGTGGATAAAAAGTACATGTTTCCCATGGTTACCCCTTCACCACGGTTACCCCGTTGCCATGGCGCAGGTACATATTCAGCCAGTAGCGGTGTTACACATGTTACCCATGGTTACCTTATCACCACAGTAACCCCGTTGCCATGGCGCAGGTACGTGTTCAGCCTGTACTGGTCGACGCTAACGCTGACGACGATCGGGGAGACCCCGCCGCCGGCGCGCGACGAGGAGTTTGTGTTTGTGGTGTGCGACTTCCTCGTCGGGGTCCTCATCTTCGCTACCATCGTCGGCAACGTGGGCGCCATGATCTCCAATATGAACGCGGCACGCGCAGATTTCCAGGTCAGGGTTCCCAACCCCCCGCGTGGTTGTTCCTCGGTCAAGCGGCGGGTGGAGGTGGTTCCTGGCCACGGGGTTGACGAGGCTACAGAAGTCCGCCTCGGATTGAAAGACGCACGGAGACACTCACAGAGACGGACACACGCGCACACACAGAGACGTGGGACACAAATAGGCACGCGTGGAGTGACGTAAACATACGGAGACACAAAACTGACACGCAGTGAAGGACAGACGTGTGCAGATGGGCAGAGACACATGGAGCAGTCGCGGTTCATGGCTCCATGGTTGAGGAGGCTGCAAAGTCCACCTCAGTGTGCGACATTAGACCCACGTCGATGGGGTGAAGCGCTGTATCTTCCCGTGTGCCGTTGTGTCTCCTCCGGCGTGTGCCCCACCGGTCTGTTCATCAGACCCGCGTGGACGGGGTGAAGCGCTACATGCGTCTGCGGGGGGTGACGCGGTCCCTGCAGGAGCGCGTCGTCGCTTACTTCGACCACGTGTGGGCGTACGGCAAGGCGGGCGACGAGGCGGCCGTGCTCGCCTCTCTGCCCGTTCGGCTCCGCGCGGAGGTGGCCTCAAACGTGCACATGGAGACCATCAAGAAGGTGGGATTGCGGGGGGCCGGTGTCTACCTTAGCATGCCCACACTTATTTCCACGTGTATCTCTGTCAACACGCCCAAAGTGGTGCATCTTCGCATGTCCCAATGGGTGTGTCAACCCGCTTGTTCCCCCGTTTCTCCTCCTCGTGCCTCCGCGTGTCCGTAGGTGCGAATCTTTGCGGACTGCGAGGCAGGGCTGCTCATTGAACTCGTTCTAAAGCTGAAGCCGCAGGTGTTTGGCCCCGGGGAGTACATCTGTCGCAAGGGAGACGTGGGGCGAGAGATGTACATCGTCAAAGGTGGGGGCTGGGTGACGGGGCTGGTCCATTATCACGTGTGTGTTCACACGTGCCTTGTGTGTATACACGTCTGTGGCGGTGGGGAAGTGGTTGGCGCACTGCGCTACGGGCCAAAGTTTGATTCCTGGCCATGGCTCACGTCAATGGTGAGTGAAATCTGAACTGGTCGTCCCCTGGGTCGACTCAGTCTTGAATGAGTACCTGGCGGCCAGGTGTGGAGCTGGCCGCACTGTCACCGCATGCCCCATGCCGGCCTGAATGGGGGCACACGAACAGTGTTTGCCCCAACAGTCAGATACATAGGCTACAAGGAGGCCTTCATCTTTGTAGGCATGTTTGTTTCAATTTTATTTGTTTAACCAGGTGGGTACTCGAGAGACCAGGACAGTCTAATTTTCAAGGGTTACCTGATATGTATGTGCTCATGTACATGTGCACGAGTGTGCGTTTAGTATGTGTACGCGTTTGTGTGCGTGCACATCAGTACACAAGTGCAGTGACATCGCTGGATGTCACTCCACCACTTTGACGTGGGTGTAGTACCGGCCCTAGAGGGGCTCAGTGAGCGCTGAATGATTGCGCTGAGTGGCACCACGCTTGGCGTGCAGTGCCAGCCCTACAGGATAGGGTGTGGAAGTGCCGGCCGTAAGAAAGGGGTTACTAAAGGCCATGGCACTCTAGTTGATCCGAGAGGGCACGTGACCAGTAAAGTCTACACAGGGGCCCCAAGTGGGAGCTAGGGGTGGTCACGTGGTCCGGGTCGAGATCCTGCTCGAGGGTTCTGGAAGGTGATCGTGGCCAAGGGCGGAGCCGGCCACGTCGCAGAGGGGCCGGCGTTGTTGTTCATCCTGAAGGAACCTTCGTCTACGTTATATCGAGTCTCCAACACGTGGACCTGGAGCTGAGCTGTGGTTCGGTCTGTAGTAGCTTGTTACGGTGTAATTAGTGAAGTTAGCCTGGTGGTCACCCCATAGGTTGTTATTCTGTTAAGGGACAGTTACCCCGTGTGTTGGTGTTAATTAAATGTGTTGCCTCCAAGAGGCGACTCAGTTGAACCTACTACACAAGTATAATGCACAGACACACTATGTACACTGTTTGTGTGTGTGTGCGCACAGACGGCCGTCTGGCTGTGGTATCAGATGATGGGCTCAAGCAGTTCGTGGTTCTGTCTTCAGGAAGCTACTTTGGAGAAATCAGCATCCTCAACATCAAGGGTGGATCTATCACTGCCATCATAGCATCAATACCATCATCGCCAACACCATCACTACTGTCACACTGCTACCATCACTACCAACAATCACTAACATCGCCATGAGCAGCGCCAGCATCACATCACCACCAGCAGGTCACTACCACTGTTATCGCCCTCAGGACCATCGCTACCACCATCAGCAATGGGGACGCAAATGCAACTCGTGTGTGGTGCTGGCTAAGCCATCCACCTTCAATTGTCGTGTCAGCCTTAATATGTGCTCGCGACCAGAACTTGCCCCAACGGCCTATACCGGCTATGCGGGGACCTTTGTCTATTTTGTTTATACGTATCAATGTATCCTCCTATGTCTAACAACATGTCAGGCATAACATTTGCATATATTTCATCTTAAAGGGTCAAATTGGGGCTCATTCTTGCCGGAGGGAACCAAGGAACTGTGGTGATGATGATGAACTATGCATGACCTGTGAGATCTGTCCTCGTTTAAAAAAAAAGCTGAGATGCTGCGCTAAGAACACGATTACCAGAGTCTTGCCACAGCTAACATCAGTGGCGACTGATATCTGAATCGGTTCTTTGTCTATCCACCCCATTCACCAACGCACATGGACAAGCATGTTGAAGTATGGTCACACAACCGCCATGAGCGACATGGCACGGAGAGGCTTTGACATCCGGCAGTGGATTTACGAATAATTGTTTTAATTAATCATACCGCCACCAGAGAGCAGCAGTGACCGGGCATGAGTGGGTAAATCCGACACGAACAGGCTCAGCTGGTGAGCGCATTGAGCTCAAACTGCCCTTATGCCAGGACGACCACATCCCGAGACCGTCAGTAGTGGCAGCAGTTACAGGCAGAGGTCGCAAACGGGTTTTGATTCCTTACCCGTACCCGTACCCGGCCGCACCAGGGTCGCAAACGGGTACCCGTACCCAGCCGGGTATCGGGTAGGGTACGGGTATCGGGTACCTGATTGCGACCTCTGGGATGAAGCCATGTTGCAGGCGCGGGTGGGTTGATTCTAGGAACTTGAATTGTGAGAAGAGACAAGACGTTGGGAAATGAGTGACAAACAGTTACTCACCAGTGACTCACGGTCTACCCGGCCGGGTACGGGTAGCCGGGTATCGGGTAGGGTACGGGTATTGGGTACCCGGTTGCGACCTCTGGTTACAGGACAACATTGCAGGGTGGAAATGTGCAAGCCAAGGTCACCCATGTGCATTTGCAATGCAGTCTTCATTTATTTGGAACTCCTGATGAGGTCAACAGTGGCAGGGTGGTGGAGGGCAACGTCTATGAAGGCTTCACATCACTCAAACAATGCAGCTTATTTTATGATTGCACACTATGAAACAAATCATTCTCACCGGGTTTGTGTGCTACCAACTTGTGTATGTTTGTGTAAGTACGAGTGGTGGAGCGGTGATTAGTGCACCTCGCTACGAACCCCCGTCACCAGAGTTCGATTCTCAACCATGGCTAATATCAGTGGTGATTATATCTAACCGGCCCTGGGCCTCCTTTTGGTCAACTCAGCCTTAAATGATTACTTTGTGCAGTGCGTACACAACAGGGAGATACAGGTGACTGGGTGTGGGGCTGGCCACACAGCCGTTCCGGCCTTCACAGTTGCTCACAAACAGCACTTGTCCCAACAGTATATTAAGGCTATACGGGTGGTCTTTGTCTTTTGTATGTATGTATATATTGAGACTGAGGCTTTTAGGGAGATCTATGTCTCTGTAGATGTATCAATGTTATGTTATTATTATCCCTGTTTACCCGAGAAAGCCTCGCTGAGTCTCGCAACTCTTTCTCAGGAGGGCCCTGTCACGTGTTCGCGGTTGGGGAAGAGGGGGGTCGATGATTGCTGCTGCGTGTTCCAATTGAGTCACTGGATGCGTGTGTGTGCGTGTGTGAATGTGTGTGTGCGTGTGTGCATGCGTGTGTGTGTGTGTGCATGTGTGTGTGCGTGTGTGTGTGTGCGTGTGTGCATATGTGTGTGTGTGCGTGTGTGAATGTGTGTGTGCATGTGTGTGTGTGAATGCGTGTGTGCATGTGCGTGCGAGTGTGTGTATGTGCGTGTGCATGCGTGTGTGTGTGCGTGTGTGTATGTGCGTGTGCATGTGTGTGTGCGTGTGTGAATGTGTGTGAATGTGTGTGCATGTGTGTGTGTGCGTGTGTGTGCATGCGTGTGTGCGTGTGTGCATGTGTGTGTGTGCATGCGTATGTGTGTGTGCGTGCGTGCGTGTGTGTATGTGTGCGTGCGTGTGTGTTTCTGGGGAGCGGTAGTGCAATGGTTCGCGCGCTGCGCTACGGAACCGGCGACCCGAGTTTGATTCCTGCTCACGGCCAACAACACCGGTGACGATTATCTGAACCGGTCCTGGGCCTCCCCTAGGTCGACTCAGCCTCAAACGAGTACCTGGTGTGGTGTGTAAGAACATCGCCACTGGGGAGACAAAGGCTGCCCGGGCGTCGTGCTGGCCACCCACCCCCTCGTGTGCCGTGCCCGCCTTCATAGGTGCTCGCTCACAGCACTTGCCCCAACAGTCGGCTCAGCCTCTCTGGGGGATCTTTGTCTTTGTGTGTAGGGAGTAAGTCTGGAAACCGGCGCACAGCAAACATCGTGAGCATTGGGTACTCGGACCTCTACTGCCTGTCCAAGGACGACCTCATGGAGGTACTCACAGAGTACCCAGACGCCAAGCAGGTACTCGCACACTCGCACTCAGGGGCCGGCCATAAGTGACGTCACGCACCTAGGGGGGGGTGGGGTCAGACATTTGTGACGAGGGGGGGGGGGTGTTGAGAAATGTGACGTCACATCAAAATGCGCAACTTTAAATAAATATAGACAACACGTTCTGCTTTATTAAATAGACTTTTTAATAAATGGTTTCTCCTACAACGTCAGAGTGCAGCGCCGCATTAAATACGCACTACAATGACAATAGTTTAGAGCGATTTGAAGCATGTTTTTTTTGGGGAGGAGGGGCAGAGCTTTGTGACGTCATATTTGAGGGGAGGTCTGACTTTTTGTGACACCGTGTGACTAGGGGGGGGGGGGGGTCAAAAATCGTCCAAACTCGCGTGACGTCATTTATGGACGGCCCCTTACAGGTATTTACACAGCTACTCTCACAGTGATGCTACCAGGTATCCTGTGCCGTGTGTGTGTGTGTGTACTGTGTCAGTGTGTACTTTGTGCAAGTACCGTGCGTTCCGTGTGCGTCTATTGCATGCGAGTGTGTGCGAGTACTTTCTTGTCGACTCAGCCTCAAGAAAGTACCTGGCTCGGTGTGTAAACATCGCCACTGGGGAGACAAAGGCGGCTGGGCGTGGCGCTGGCCACCCATCCTCCCGTGTGCTGTGTTGGCATTCTAAAATGCTCGCTTACAGCACTTGCCCAAACAATCTGTTTAGGCTATACGGGGGATCTTTGTTTTTGTGCTCCCATGTACGTTCTGTGTATGTCATGATTGCACTGCGTGTGTGTATGTGTGTCTGGTGGTATGTATGTACACCTCCAATTTGCACGGTTGGCAACATACAGTGCGAAAAAAGTTAAACATACACATATGTGTAGTGACTGTGATTGTCACTGTGTGGTGCCGGGCTTACGAAGCCACGGCGGATAATGTGTTGGCATTATGTGTAGCCCGGTTACTGGGCGTAGTACCAGCCCTAGCGGGGCTTGGGTGAGCGCTGGTCAGCACCGCAAGCAGTGTGCGGCGCGGGCTCCCGTTACGTTGGGGCATGATGCGCTGGTTGACCTGCCGACACGTGACCGGATTATATTGGAGGGGGGCCACCAGTGGACGGGGGCCGCTGGGCGGTCACGTGGTATAAAATAGCTCTCGGGAGCCTTGGGAAAGAGCTCGAGAGATCTAGAAGGTGGGCGGGGCGAGGGGCGGAGCCAGCCCCAGCCCAGGCCGATATAACGGGGTCTCGTGAGGGGCTCGGGGTTCTTCGGGTTGCTGGTGAAGAAGATCCACGTCGGGTAAAAGAAGCCTCTAGCCACGTGGTCCGGGACCCAGTTTGTGGTCCGGGCCGGGATAGTGAACCGTGTCTAGTTCTGCCGTAGCGTGGCTAGATGGGCATTCAACACCTAAGTGTAGGTTGTGTGATGTTGTGTTGGTGAAATAAATAGTGTTGCTCCCAAGACAACGTCTGCGACTCAGTTGGACTCGCTACATATGTACTGTGCGTGTACTTCATATATCGACTGTGTAATTAGTGCACCGCAGAATGAACCGTGTCCTGTCTGTGTGTCCCGTGCAGGCCCTGGAGGAGAAGGGCAAAGCCATCCTCATGAAGGACGGCCTAATCGACGAGGAGTGCACCAATGTGGGGCCCGACCCCAAGACACTCGACCAGAAGGTACAGGATCGGGCGCGTTTGGGGGACGTGGAACACGGGGAGCACACAGTGGGCTATGGTAGGGTGGAGAGGGACACAAGGACATCACGATGAAAGGAGAAACGGGAAAAGCAAACCGAGGTACCATAGAGAGGAAATGGAGAACATAGGATGAGGACACCGTGCAACCGGTCCTGGACAGTGCGTCTCTGTGTGTCTCCGCGTGTGTCTCCCGCTCGTCCCTCCCTCGCATGTGTGTCCCCCGTCCTGTCTGCCCCCCCCCCCCCCATCGCATGTCTCGTGACAGGTGTCCCGCCTGGAGACGCTGCTGGACGGGGTGCACACGCGCCTGGCACGCCTGCTGGCGCAGCAGGGCTCGAGCGTGGCGTCGACGCGCGCCCGCCTCACCTCGCTGGAGACGGCCGTGTGCGGGATCGTCTCCTCCCTGGGCAGCGCGACTCCCACGATCCTCACCATCACCGCACCACCCGAGGAGTGACGGATCTCGCCATCGGAGTCGCCGACCTTATCCCGGGCGGCGATGCCGACGAATTACTGGCGGCGGTGGCAGGGACAGTGGCAACGGCGGCAGCGGCGGCAGGAGCGTCAGTAACAGCAACATCAGCAGCGCGTGCAACATCACGGACGGCAGCATCACCAGTTGAAGCGTTACTATCAACATCAGAGGCAACGTCATCAGCAAGCGGCATCATCGGCAGAATGGCCGGCAACATCTGACATCACCAGCATCACCAGCAAGCATCGGCAGCAGCATCAGCAGTAGCAGCACTAGCAAATTAAAGTGCGACATCACAAACATCACCAAAAATACCGGCAATTTCACCTATATCATTGTCAATATCACTAACATCACAATTAGCATCGTCGCTCGTGAAATTATAAGTGCTATCATCGGCAACATCTCTAGGAGTATCGCCGTTAGCATTTAATAAGGAACGTGACAAATATATCCGGCATCAATGATATCAGCAACAACATCACAAACATAATTGGTGGCATAATCATCATCGTCATAATCATCTCATCTTCTACAAATTCAACTGCATAAGCACCAGCATCCAGGGCTGGATTCAGGGATGGGGGTGAATTTTGGACATTTGCCCAGGGCCCAAAACTCAAGAGTGGTCCACACACGCAAAAAAAACCCATTAATGTTATCATTAAGAAAGTAGGACAGCTTACTCACATTATCATGTTATTTGAATTAAAATGAAGAATATAAAATGAATTAATTGCTGTGCTTAATATTTTTTTCTACCTTCAGTTTTCTCCATCTGACCTAAATTCACCCCATCTGACCTAGATTCACCCTTGTAAGGGTAGGGTGCGAGGGGGTAGGCGGTAGCTTTTTTTACTCTGGTGTCCCAAGAGCAAAGATACCTCGATCTAGCTCTGTCAGCACCAATATCACCTTAGCCACCAGTATCCACATCATCATCATTGACATTATAAACATCACCAGCGTCATCACCGACAAAACAACCAAAATTGCTGAAAAATCACAATAAATCATTCGCCACCACCTCCACCATCATCACCATCCTTGGCATCCTCTCCATGTGTCCGTGGTGTCGCTAAGTGTGTGTTAACTCCGCACCTTCCTCCCTGCGCCTCTTCACTCCCCAGATCCTCCACGCTCCTCCTTAGAGCCCAAGCCTATAAACGTACGGGGATAATTATGGGTATTATAAAATACATTGACCTTTTGTATCTCCGGGGTGGAGCGGTGACACAGTGATTGACGAGCTACTGCTATGACCCCGGCGGCAACCTGGGTTTAATTCTCAGCCATGCTTAAGCATCGGTGGGGGGTAATATCTGACCCGCTCCTGGTCTCCCCCTCCCTTCATCAGCTCGCACTGACCAATGTGGTGAAATATGACCAAACAATCTGGACGATGAACACGGCGTGGGGAGGAGGCCTTCATCCAGCAGTGGATTGACAAAGGACCGTGAATGAACACAATTCTCTATCCACATAAAATATGTTTTCATCCAGAAGCATGTTTCAGCAAACTGGACCGATTTCGAGCTTCTGGGTCTCAACTAGCAGCAGTCAGGCTTGCGAAACAAACACTCTTCGTTTAAACTTTATTGGCAAGAGCACTCCCTGTAAACAACAACAAAAACAATCCTGTGCTGCGTCAATAAAATGCCACTTACGTGCTGTTGTGGACCATTGTACGCGCACGGCCTTGTCACTCCACTCGTGCAGGAAGGCCCTCGGCCACACTGCTGGCCGTGGGGGTTACTTCGCCACGTTTCATCGCACTTTGGTCAGTGCAGGTCGTGAAGGCAGGGATCGCATATGTGGCACCATAAAAGTAAAGTACAACAATTTATTTTTTCGACGCCGCACTCTGCTGCCCACTTCATAACTCTGCAGCCTATTACACCGGCTATGCATGGCAATCGCCCATCCAGGCACTATCCAGGATGAACAACCATGCTCACCTTCTGAGACCTGGTGAGGTTGTGCACAATCAGGGAGGCTGGTCGTCGATAGTGGAGCATGATGGGTAATGAATAACGAAACAACTCCAAGCCCTCATTGTCAGATGAACAGAAATGGTCCATGAGCCCGGCGGCCTTGCGCGCTAACACTATCCAGCAGCGTCTATCGAAGCACCCAAACCCATTTTTCATTGAGCTGTGCATACGGATGGAGCTGGAGTACCCAGAGGAAACCCACATATAGATTCATTGCATCAGGCTTCCATCTATTAGATGCCCCTGTAGTATAGATGCGTCTATACATAGAACACTATGTACTTTAAATGACCTTAATGCTGCTTCGGTAAGGCATTACGGTGCCTTATTACTACCCGAGCTGAAGGAACATTGACAATTTATGACCGTTCTCTATGTCGGTACGGCTGGGGCACAGTTCCCTGATGAGCCCATTAGAGCAACGATATCCAGAAGAGGGGGGGGGGAGGGGGCAGCAGACCCGGCGTCGTGGTCACGGCTAACATCAGTGGCAAGTGATATCCGAACCGCTCCTAGACACGTCCCTTCATCAACCCGGACTGACCAGCATGGTGAAGTATGTTCAAACAACCCCCATCGCTGGGGGAGGCTTTTTTGCCCTGGTTATTTGATTAATGACTAAGGGCTGCAAGCGTGCAGCGATACTCTGGGTTTTAATTGACGGTCTGTAGCCAGGCATGGTTCACTAATGAGCTCCTGCGAGAGCCAAATGTATCCGTTTCTCCCAACGCTGCTGCTCATTGTCTTTTGAAAATTTGATTGCCTAAAAGTTTTACTGATATTTGCCATCGCTCCGTGTACACGGCACAACGGACTTCTCGGTGGGCCGACGTTGTGCCTGTTCAAATTCACGTGGGGCAGAGCTCAATTCCGGGGCCATTGGGGGCAAATGTCACATTCCCGTGGCATCTGCCAGTATAGCCGTAGGAAAACAATCACTGTCGGTATCCCGAAAAAGTGGCGCTCATATTATCGACCCTAACGGGCTGATAGGGTGCGGTGACCCACGACTGGCATTTGAGTTTGCGATATTTTGGTTGAGAGCCGAGTGCTCTATGGTTGCTAGCAATCAGTAAATTGAGTCTTGGACAGCCGGGTTTGTTGTATTGATCCGCGATGACCTCTGCCTATGACCACATCCCAAGCCTCTTACAGCAGCAGCAGGCTCCGGAGTAATTGGCTATTTGATGGATCCCAGGGTATGCAAGGGCAACCACGAGTCCTCCACCAGGTCGGTGAGGACAATCTGCCCGATCTGACCTCAGTGGTGAGCCTTAAGTCTTTATGATGTCAATGGTGAGCATGATGGTTTTATGAGCAAAACGTTGTGACGCGTGCGATGAACGCGAGTTGGCGATGTCCAATCGCGTCGTGAATGACGTCCATGTTGCTTAAAAAGTCGATCCACTTTCTACCAAGCGAACTTGTACGTTGAACTTCGTACATAGCCAACCGTGCTAATCGGAGGCCATTGACAACCCATGTAGAATTGTTCCAGTCTCCTCAGTATCGCCCGTGATTTCAGATCAAACACAATAGCATCGGTAGGACACGGGTCTCATTGGTACTGATTTTCATGCCAGGTCACCGCTTTCCTTGTCACCATGGATGAAGGCCTCCCCATGCCAGTGTTGGTCATGGGGGGTTATTTGATCATACTTCACCACGCCGGTTCAGCTGTGCAGGTTGGTGAGATGAAGGGCTCAGGAGCGGTGAAATATATCATCACTGACATTAGAATGGGTGCCAATTGAACTCGGGTAACTGGGTTCAAAATCACCACGGTCCCCAAGTCCTTTGTGTAAATGTGCAACAAATAAGTAAACACAACACGTGCTTTAAGAAAGCAATACTTTATTCCAGTTAATAATTCATGTTAACGTCATTGTTAATTAATAATAATGATAATCAATGGTGATGATGATGTCAGTGATGGTGGTGATGTCAGCGTGAGGCAGATTATTTACAGCAAGGACTAGGACTGCACACCCTTCACGTATCCCGGCCTCCCGTACTCCTGACTAGCGCTGCAACCTCGGGTTCCAAAATGTTAAATACAATTTAGCTCAATTAGTATTATTAGCTTTAGTTAATTTAATTGAGAAAATATATCAAGTTAAAATTCTACATGGTGGATTTAATTATCCAAGTAGTTTTTTTTATTGTCGCTATTTAATAAAACTGAGAGTTTAAATGGATATGAATTGTGGATTATACAGTGTATTGATTAATTTTGTCAGCTATTTGCCCTTCTGTGTGAGGGGTGGGAAATCTGTGCCCCCCCCCCACCCCCTGAACCTTGACCCCCACCCCTCCCCCATCAATGGGAAGTGCTGTAATGCCACCAAAGAACTCGCTTTCCCATAACCCTGATAATAATATTCAGAGTGGTATGGGATTCAAACTCAGACTAGTATTGGTCTGAAACCTTATCTTGCATAGGATGGATGCAGACTCGTATGGAATTACCTGGTGTAGGCTTTGAAATGTGTCATAAAAGTAATACTCTGCAAGGGGATTCATACTGCAACAGTATTTTCCCTTCAGTTAGGATCAGGATTAGGGGTTAGAATCCGGGTTAAATCACTACACTCCAAATGAGACCGTACTTAACCCAAATGCCAGGTAACTTTTGCTCTGCATCTCAATCCACCAATGGTCGGTTTGTTTGAGTCACTCGGGTTTATTTTCTCAGAGGACATCGTTACAGCGCCCAAAAGGCGCTTTGCCCTCATACGAGTCAGCACTTGGAGATTCCACGGAACCTGGGGGAAGAGTTTGCATGGCAGGAGCAGCACCACCACGAGTGGCAGAAGGCACGAGGGCCATACTAGATTTGTAAGTACAGTATGAATACCCATGCAGAGTATGAATTTACAAATAAAGTATATGTTTTTAGTTACTTTCGTAAAATATATATATTTTTTATCGTAAGGGGATGTCTGCAAACCTGGATGGTGATGGCAGCAACATCTAAAAGACGCCTGCTGGTGCAGAAGCCAAGCTCTGGGGCCTTCGGCAAATGTGGAGCTCTTTAATTGTGGGAATCTAGAGGCTAATTGTGAGGCCTGAAACTATAGATGCCTGGGGAGACAAGATCTAGATTCCAGGAGCTTCAGATGTAGTGGGGCCTGTAGGTCTGGAGGGCTGAATGTCGAGACATTTGGTTATGGGTCTGGATGTCTTGATCTGGTTGGATCCTAGAGGTATGGAAGTGAGGCCTGGAGGACTAGACTAGGGGGGCAAGAGACCTGGAAGTCTAGGTGTGTATTAACCTAAAGAACTGGAGGTCTTGATTTAAAGGAAGGTGGGGGCATAGAAATCTCGATGTGGAAGGGCCGATAAGCCTTAAGAAGGCCTCTGGTGGGGTCTAGAGGCTTGGAGATCTAAATATTTAGGAACATAGATGCCTGGAGGTCAAGACATGGAAGAGCCAAGAAGCCCTAGCCATATATATATATATATACGTGGTCATCAATACAAATCCCAAGTTCCGTGCAGATCTAAATGCAGAGAGTCCTGTGGTTTCAGATGCGTAGGAACCTAGATGCCTGGAGATCTTTACATTAGGGACTTCTAGACACCTAGAGATATAAGTCTGCAGTCACCCGCTTGAGTCAGTTCAGTCACCACCCCCAAGGCTGTGGTCACACGAGACTCGGCAGCGCAGGGATCCGAACACTCGCGTCACCCGAGAGACGAAAAATAAAGTCATATCGTGAGTGTTAAAACCTTAAAACGCATGGCAGCTGAGGGGGGGGGGGGGGGGGTGAGCCCAGCCAGAGTGAGGGTGCGAGTGTCCAATCAGCATTACGAAATCCAAGCACCACTTACAAGCACTGTGAGATCTGAAGAGTGGAGTCATCTCAATACGGAATCGCAGCAATAATCATACCAATACTGTTATTGATAACACCGTTATAATGCTTGTTAAACATTTCTCTCTCAAATAATGCACATCTTGGGGTGTGAGATGGATGCTTAAACTTAACACTTAAGTTTTCTTCACAGTAATAGCTATCAGTAGTATAATTATTTTGAAAGAAAATTAGTCTCAAATGATACCTTTTACCTCCAATAACTCAACAAAAGAATCACCCGCAACGAATCCTAAGAAGCCTTTTTCACCATTGTTATTAATTTTACAAGTCACAAAAGCACCAATAAAGCAGATAAAAGAGCAAAGAAGACTGACTGCACCACAATTCTCACCCCTCATGATTACCCCACCCCATCACTGGCCATTATGAACGTAGCTCCTAGTCTGTAAGGTCTGTAAAGCGAGCCCTGTTTGTCAGGGACCAGTTGGCCAGACTAGACTGGATACGCAGGCCATGGAGCCAGGGGGATCGGGAATGAGGCGAGCCCAGGGATTCAGGAGCCACACAACATGGGTTTGGGGACCCACAAATATCGTTCTGGCTTTTTCTCAGGCAGGACTTCAGGCCAGGGTTTATCATGGTCACCCTCTCCCGTTGGTCCTAAGGAGACTGAAAAAAGAGTGTCATATCTGCAACACCCTGTAGGATTTTAAGCAACATCCTGTAAGATATTAATATTGTTTTAGCTACCCAGAAAGCCTCACTGGGTCTCATGACTATTTTAAGGGTGCTGTATTTTAGGATGTTTGGCAAATGCCTTTTTTTGTACTTATGGGAGGACACCAAACAGCTCAAAACAGGTGACCCGTTAAATAATCCCATGGGCTCTTTTTGCTGTACAGTCGACAAAATTCAAACAACGAAAATAGAACAAATATCCATTTCATAGTTATAATTTTGTTCCAAAGTAATGAAAGCTACGAGAGTGCTTTAACGTGGTAAACGTTTGCCCATTTAAAACTTCCAAGTAAAAGTTCATGCAAGCATCGTAAATGGGAGTGTGAGATGGGTGTGAGAGTGCGTTCGTGTCGGTACCTTTATATAATTATTCCAAAAACTAAACACTTTTAACTAGTATTTTTGGAAATAATGTTCTATATTTTTTTGTTAGTTTTCATTTTTTTTAAAGTTTTAAAAAAATGTACAGTATATTGTTATTACTCCTGCCCCAGAAAGGCATCCCTTAGCAGTGGGTCCCATGTCCACCTTTTTTAAAGGTACCCTCTCAATATCACCAAGACCTGTCGCAGGCTTCGCCCAGGTTTTGTTAGTTTTGACGGTGCAACCTTGCTCTTCGACTAGCCTAGAAAAGCATTTTTTTAAATTAGCAGATGTTCAGGCCCGTTTCAAAAACGCTGGACCAGTTACTGTTTTGTACTTAAGTGACACACACACATTTCACTAGGCTAATCACGAGCGTGATATTTGCCATTTTCAAAATGTTAATGGTACAGAGGCACAATTCCTGTACCTGTGTTTGAGGCCAGTGTGGTGCAACCGCAAGGGTGCGTATGAACATCCCACAGTGGATTAATGTGATTGTTCACTATTCTCATACAATAGATATTACCGTTTGGGCTGTTCAACACCCCCTAAAGTAACTTGCGGTGCCATAACCATGAGGTCCTATGAATTAACCGATGTTACTAGAAGGGCCTCTTGAGACGATGATGCTCGGTAAACTTGGGATAGATTTTTTGTCCATGCTAAAGGGGACATTCCCCGGATCTCCTGACCCTCGCCTCAAAGACCCAACCTAAATAAGATAACCGTCCCACAGCCGCTAACCGCCCCACTCACCCATCCAAACAAATTCACGAATCTGCCACACTTTTGTCTCTCAAGGCGAGCACATTTTTGTACAATCGTGTTTTGTTTTCTCGATGCACATTTGTTTTCAAAGGCGGACGCTTTTGTGAGGACTATCGAAGGCATGAAAAAAGGTGTTTCTTTTTAGTTGTAGTGTTTGTCTTTGAAGCCTTTGCCCGGGTTGGTCTTTTAACGGTGGTGCAGTGTGCAGGCTCGCGATCCTTTCAGGCGGCCAGGCAGCGTCGAAACCTGCGGAGAAGCACACCGAGCAATCGGCATTAACAAATTATAACAATTTTCCATCGTTTATAAATCCGTTACTCGTGGAGGCCTCCCCATGCCATATCAGTCGTGGGGTTGTTTGACCATACTTTACCACACTGGTTTGTACGGGTTGATGAAGGGAGTGTGAAAAACCAGTGTCACCCACCACTAATGTTAGCCATGGCCGGGAATGAGTCGGATCGCTGGGTTCATTATGCACGAATGTATCCATTTTCTCAGGTCGTGTTTTCTCCACACACTCAAATGGCATGGGTATTAGGTGGCAATGCAGTGAGGGCCCAATGGGGGAATTCCACATGCCGATGTCTGTAGGACAGCCACTGCTATTCTCCAGGGTGGTCCAGATATCTTGTGACTCGCCAATTAATCGACCCTGAACATTTTCTTTCCTTTGCATATTCATTTTTGTTTTAAATAGACCATACTTTAAAAATATTATGGTTTAGAGAATTAAATGGGGGTCTTAAGACATCTGGACCACCCTTTAGAAAGTGAAGAGGGATCAAGTCAATGTCGAAAGAATCCAGACTACCAATAGAAAACCCACACATACATGGGGATAACATTGAAACATTTCACACACAACATTTAAGGAACCCACTTGCTTTACTGCCATATCGTGTCAAGTTGTAAGTTCTCATCAACTATGAAGCATGGTTGTCATGGGCCCTGTTGCAAATATTAAAATGGGTCCCCACCTGTCCATTTTCCACCCTATCCGTAGCCCGGCGGCTGGGACTCTTCAGCCTGCGGGCCTTGGTACAGTTTCACCGCCTGTAAATCCAATAGCTAAACCACTGGCTCTCAGACACACGATCAAACCTGCGCAATCCATAAATCTACGGCTCCACGGTGCTAGGTTATAGGTGTGCGCCACTGTGGCTATTCAACAAGGCCCTGCATAGTGGGACATTACGACTGTGTACGTTAGGGTTACGACCTGTTTTGGTTTCTCAGGACCCGTTCTCTTTTTTGAGATAACCATCCTGTGAAATCGAAGTCTTTCTGGAAGCCTAAACATGAAAAGTTAATTTGCCGTTTACATGCAGTTGTGCCCTTCTTCCCAAGATACGTTATTTTGTTCATACTTCAGCGGCGGCGACCATCGTGTTGCGCATGTGCCCATCGTCTTTCACGGTGGTCTGTGGCAGTACCGGCGGCGGGGGCCTAGGAGAGGTCGGTGACGCTGTGCCCGTGCCGCATGACGGGCAGCGCGTGAAGCGCGCGGGGGAAGTCGGCGCCCAACATTCGCCCGTTCTCGCCCAGGCTGCCCGTCAGAGACAGCCGCCCCTCACTACGCAGCGCCTCGCCAAACGCCAGCTGCATGCGCGCACACACGCGGGCACAGCACCAGCGATTAACTCAACTTAGCCTTATACTGAAGAAGTGTGGTTCCCACGCTTGAACTTCTTTGGCACCGTACGTAGCCACCCATGATAATTGGAGGTGCAGGGGGAGGGTCTCCTAGACGTCCGCAGGCCACTGGTGGTCTGCGAGGTTGTGGGAAATGCTCCGTGGAAATGTTCCAGATATGACGATTTTGAGTCGTTTTTAACTCTCGTTTATCTCGCTTTCATTTCACTAATCTGTATCAATGTCCCCGCGGGCAACAGTTCAATGGGCCACTCCAAGAGCCTTCCACGGTCAGATGTGGCCTGCAGGCCACGCTTGCCATAGGTCATAGTGAGCAAGTGTTGCTGACAGGTACCTGTTAAAGGTGTAAACAATATATATCTCATCCTCAGTTTAACACGTAGGCTTTCGAGACCAATATCCATAATACAGTTTTTTTTATACAGATTGTAAATTTTGTGAATTCACTCTACAACACTGGTGTTCTGTACGAGTAACGAATTGGCATGTTCTGTTTACGTGACAGGCCATTCTAATTGGCTGTGTCGGGTGGTGGCGGGTTTAACGACAAATGTATATTTACGCGATCTAACCCAAAAAAACCCCTGTATTATGGATATCTCATCCTGTCAAAACTCGCTTTGTGATTGGGAAAAAAATCTTTAAATAAAAACTTCATGATCGGACTCGAATTACGTCAGTGTAACATTATACCTAACTGACCAAAATAGTTGCATTTGTGTATCTGTATTTTCCAAGTTATGAATACACATGTGCCAATAGGCAAAACTTGAAGGCAGATTTGGTAAAGATAGATGAACCAGATATAGTAAGGACATGACGATTGTTCAGAGGCTGCCATGTTGAACGAGATTATGGTGCAACAATGCAGGTGTTTGCTCTGTTGCAAAGTTGTTGCGCGCCTGCAAAACAGCTGGGCTCAGAAACGCACAGACCGCTTTGGGGCAAGTGCTGTTAGCGCCTATGATGGGCCGGGATCGCACAAGAAGGGGGTGGGGTGTGCCAGCACCACGCCCGGCTGCCTTTGTCTCCCGAGTAGCGATTTTTACACATGACACCAGGTGCTAAATTTGAGGCTAAGTCGACCGGGACGAGTTCAAACATTCGCCACTGTTATTAGTTGTGAGCGGGAATTGAACTCGGGTCGCCAGGTTCAGAGCGTAGCGCACTAACCACTACACTACCATACCTCACAGGTACACTGTTGGGGCAAGTGCTGTTAGCAAGCATTTGAGGAGTGCCGAGTCAACCGATGGGAAGCCCAAGATCGGCTCAGATATTCATCACCGAACTCAGGTACCGCTCGCACACAGGTGCGCACACACATAGACAACAAAGATCCCCCATATAGCCTTAACAGACTGTAGAGGCAAGTACCGTTAGCAAGCACCTATGAAGGCCGGAACGGTACACGAGGGGGTGGGTGGCCAGAACCACGCCCGACCGCCTTTGTCTCCCTAGCGGCAATGTTTACACACCGCACCAGGTACTCATTTGAGGCTGAGTCGACACACATAGACACACAGGTGCGCACACACACACACAGGTGCGCGCGCACACACACACACACAGGCACCCCACCTTAAGGCGCTTGGCTTCGGCGCGGGATTTGCAGCAGAACTCCACGAGCGCCACGAGCATGGCGAGACCGAGTCCACCCACGAGGATGTAGAAGACGCCGGCCACATTACTGAGGCTCAGAGCGCTCGTCTTATCCTGCTCGCACGGGCACGCGCGCACGTCACCACCCACCACGGATCGCTCTACCAGCTGGCGCACCTCCCCGACCCCCCCGACCCAACAAGGACGCTCGCATGGGGACACTCTCAGGGATCCAGCAGCAGGGTCGTGGGTTTCAGCCTGCTCACATACCCTTGTGTCGCAGCACTAACGGGGCGGGCAGGTGAGCGGACGAGTGGGAGTTGAAACAGTGGCGGCTGGTGGCTCCAGTTTGAGCGAGGTGCCAAATTCCAACTCGGATTTCGCAGCCTCGGTTGACGCGTGCAGGTTTTTTAGTTGTCGAAAAATCGAAATTCAAAGATTGAAGAATTCGAATGTAAAGAATTGGAAATGCGATGAAGATCAGATGAAGTGGCTTCATTAGAGGTTACTAATCGGATGGTTTCCCAAGAGACCTGGTCAGTTTGGGAGATGAATTAAAAAGGTCGGCGTCTTCGTTATCAACTTAGCGACGGGCGGTATGTTGGCGGTCCTGGGTCGGTGGCGAAAATTCCAAATTCACTTGGCGTGGGGTCAGTCTCTTCAGAAACAACTGTTGAGATTCCACAACAAATTGTGTTCTATAATTATCTACAACCAGAGTGTGATGATAATGGGTTGAGTCAACCTCAACCTTGATTAGAATTTGCAACCTTCTGGTTTTGAGTCAAGTGCTCAACCTGACCAGGTGAGAGCCCCACAGAGGGCCTTTTCACGTGAGTGGGATTTACGCCGACTTAGTCGTGTCGACACGAGTTAAGTCAATTTAAGCTCCATTTGAAGCGGTACGGCGTCAACTAAAGTTGCCACCTCCAAGAAGTGGAGATTGATTTACCTGCCGACTTAAACTGCACTGGCACGAGTAAATCCGACACACAAAAAAAAACACAAGTGAGAAAATACCCACTGTGAAATTATAATTACAACACGCTGCTTCCGCATTCTAGTTAAGCATTGCCTGCACGCGTCACCTACGGCTGGGAGAAGCGAAATGGAGGCCGTTACCCCTACTTCAGAGCCGCTGGAGGCAGCAGGGCATTGTTACCATCATCAGAAGAAGCGCGTGGGCTGTTGCAGAGAGGATGTTAACATCCAAGAGCCTGTGACACCGCTTGCAAAGGGTAAGCCATAGTGTGCCTGAAATCCTGGCCCAAAAATGTTGACCTCTGCACTGGTTTAAGTCCAAGTTACTTGAATTATGGTGCAACTTAAGCAACTGGGATAATTGAGGAGCTATGCCAGTAACATCACAATCATCATTATTATCAGCCATGATCTATCCACTGCTGGATGAAAGCCACCTCAAGCCATCGTCATTATGGTCTCGCAATGCAACCAGCTCCATCTAGCTTCTGCACTCGCGGTGAATTCATTGTTGCATATCTACGGTGGACGTCCTCTCGGGCACGTTCCCTCTTTTGGCTCCCACTCTGTCATTGTCTCAACCACAGCCATCATCCCGTCATCCCTTCCACGGCCGTCGCCTCCCCATCCCCCCCACATTAAAAAAGAAACAAAGCAGTGGCGTTTGGTGGGGCGGTACTGGATACTTATCCCGAGGCCCAAAATGTCGTCGTGCTCCTGCTGGGAGCATGTCCCCTAAGTTCTCAATAATTGTGGGCACACCGGCCCTCTGTCTGACATGCTGTGACTGCAGTAAGGAGATTGTAGTCAGTAGTCTTAAATGTCTTCACCAGTGGTCACAGCACCTGGACAGTTACGTACTATTAATACGTGATAATCGACCCTTTGTCAATCCACTGCTGGATGAAGGCCTCCCCACGTTGTTGTTCATTGGGGTTGTTAGATTCTACTTAACAGCACTGGTTCGTGCGGGTCGGTGAAGGAGATGCCCAGGACTGGTTCGGATATCACTCGCCATTTTTGGCCCGCACCGAGGGCATGGAGCGGTGGCGTAGTGGTTAGCGCACTGTACAGTTATGTACAGTACTGCATATAGAACAATGTATCATCTGACCCATTGAGCCGTATACACTATCCACTCTGTGCCAGTCTCACCACCACCTCGTCTCAATGCGCTCTCTGCAAACTCAACCCCATGGCTACGATGGGGAAATATCAGACTGATGGTGACTACGATCTCTTTGCTCAACTCGACACGTCTCCCTCGTTAAATATATATTTTTTAAAAAGGGCTGTTTACAGTCCAATTTGTCATGAGGTTTCACATTTTTCATCCGCCCTTCACTGTGTATTGATGTCCCTTGAGATATTCCCAAGCAAGCGTATCCCAAGGCAGAGAACCACATGCTGAAGCCAATTAAAAACGTCTATACGCAGTGTGCCCCCCCCCCCCAAGCCCTACTTAGGCCCGTGAGGGAATCGACAACATTGCAAACTACGATGCCGCCGGAGGTTGCTGGTGCTTATTTGAGGCTGTAATCTCAGCGAGCTTGGATGTGGGATTGGTGGGTCACGGGAAGAAGGTTATTTAACGGTGGTCATTACGGAGACGACGAACTGCGCGAGATGCGCCCCAACCCCCCGGGGTTTTGAGGTTGGCGAGGAACACGGCAGGACGCAGCACGATGAGTGTCGCCCCTTTTCCTCACACGTGGGGTTCCTCCGGGCACTCTGGTTTCATTCCTTCCATGTGTAAACACACTCGGCGATTAAGACATTGACCCAGCATCTCAAGTAAGGGCCTCGCTGAACGCTGAAAAAAATATTCTTGCGACTCGGTGAGGCTTTCTTGCATCAACAACACCTGTGTAATATAATCCTGAATCGTCACGTAACCCGTAACTCGCACAGCTTGTGGAGGTCCTCCTCAAGCAGTGGATAGATTTGTTTTAAAGGCTGTTTAAATATGAAAATTTGTTGTTGAACCCAGGCCCAAAGCACCAAGCGGCCAAGTAGCACTATGTACGTTTCCTTCATAACCCGAGTCGAATTTGGGCACACGACCACTTTTGCAAACGTTGTCACAGGAAACTTTGGCTGTCGCCATCCCCTCAAGAGGCAGCGGCGCTGTTTAAACGATGATTTTCAAACCGCCGAACCATTTATCCTCCAGCGAAGCCCATAGCAGGTCTCCCTCTCTCGAGTTATGGGAGAGGAGGGGGGTGGCGGTCTGGGTCTCCACTTTCCAGACGTGTCCCAGGTCTCCCTTGGCTCAGTCTCAAGGCACCGCGACTCATCCAGGCGTCAATATCAGTACGTGCTGTATTTGGGATTGTTGCTGTTGTTGTCCTGAGCTGTAGTTTTTTGTTTGTTTTTATTTGCAGGTGATGATGGTGGTGGCGTAATTCACGGCCTGAGATAGGATCGCTGCATTTCTGTCGCCTGCAATGAGGGGTTAAACAGAAGCCACCGGATTCTGTCCGATTCGAAGCCATTGCATCTCATCCAGGCCGTGTCTTCGTTTCTGATTTCATCCTGAGAATTTAAAACTTTAAAACGTGCCCTCTTCGGTCTTGCAAATTGTTACAAATACCCCCTTTGGAGGTTGTCTTGTTTTCTGTGGTGGATAGTACAGAAATAAGATTCCTCACTCAATATAAGGCTAATTCTGACAGAATTCAGTACAGCAAGCAGGTGGGTAGGAGGCAGTGGAAGATGGTCGGCGTCTGACCCACCCAGAAGTTAACTGCGATAAGAGGATAGATGGTACAGCGAGTGAGCTCCTCACATGTTGTCCGTACAATGGAGTGTCATCCCTTTTACGTGCGTGGCTTTTCTCTGGGAACTCTGGTTTCCTCCGGCAACGCTAAACTACGTTGTAAATGTTGAAGTAGCCAAACGTCCAAAACCCGGTCAAGTGTCAAAGTGAGAGGTGGCCTGGTGAAAGCTTGATTCAACTCAAAATCTCAACGGTGGCTCAGGGGTCAGAGACACTGAGCCACAACAGAGATTCTGAGTTGAATCAGGATTTCTGCTGCCCGCGATTTAACTGGGTCTCCAAGTATAGCAAGATGGCACTCGGCCCAGTGACCAAAGATTGCGTAAAAAAATACTGTAACTTTATTTTCCTCATTCTAGCGTTGGTAAGGAGAAACTCAAATTGCATTGATATGCAATTCATTCTCTTTGCAGGGCGTGTAAAAAGTATGCCCCCAGTGTGGATAAAATCACTGCAGTGACTTCCGAAGTAGTTCCTGTGACATTCTCTTATGGGGCAATTTTCTGACGCAGGGTGATCCACTCCTCGCTGAAGAGTTCTGAATGGACATTTTCTTGCCTCATGATATGATAACTATAGCACAATTGGAACATCATTGGGTGGTTTACAAGCATTAAATAACGCTACAAATAGAGTCAAATGTTTCAGCAGTGCCCATTTCCTATGGCAATTCCGAAGTGTCAGTGGAAGTACCACATTTAAATGAAATGGCCAATCTCTCCATAGGAGAACCAATGTGTCCCACAAAGTGGTAGCTATTTTATCAGCCCTGCAGAGTTGATGAAGACGGGCTCATCCGACCATTAACCTGAAGTTAAACTCACAAACTTGTGCTTGTGAGTCAAGTGCCCTGCTCACAGAACCACATTGGCCACCTAGAGGTCAGCAACCCAAACCAAGGTGTTGATGAGACAAGAGGAGATCTGCGATGCATTTGTCGACAGTGCATTCTTCTTCTTTAATTGACTGAGTGGAGCGGAGGCTGTGCTGACTGAGCCAGGGTGACCCGGGGGAATCTGGCAAGGGAGCATCCTTCAGGGGTCCATAACCCCCCTCACAGGGGCCCACTTTTGGAGTCCTACTCACTCCCACTGGGATTCTAGGGGGGACTCGACTGAGGCTGGACCAGATCCCTCTGTGCGTCCCCATACTCACGGCGAGGCTAAACCTCCAGCGTCCAACACCCATAGGAGACAATGCGGTCAGGCGTCAAAGGACGGAAGTCTGGATCAGCATCTCCAGATTCGGTTTAAGTTTCTGGTTGCACTCGTTCACCGTGATCGTGTAAACTTAATTTAAGTTTAAAGTTGTTCACAAAATCAACCGGTAATTGGATTACCAGCAGTTAGACAAA